TTCCCTTCCCTTCCCTTCCCTTCCCTTCCCTTCCCTTCCCTTCCCTTTTAAACCATGCAAAGTTATCTAAAACAGCAGATAGAAATAGTGTAGTGCTTTGCATTTTTTAGCTCCTTGGTATGTATCTGGTAAAAGTTACAACCTTGCTTTTATTAAGGGGGATGTGTGCTGGGACATTGAACCACTACTCCTGAGGTGACAGTTTGTGGAAAGCCCCTGTCCTATCCATCTGCTAAGCATTATGCGAGGGCACGCAGCTGCCACCAGGCTGCTTTGAGCTACACAGCCCTTACTGAGTGGGGACACACTTCTGGTGCCCACAGTTACAGTGGGGCAGTTGGAGCTGTGAGATGAGCCCATGCCTGCTGTCTCAGACTGCGTTCCAGCTCCCAAGGGAATATGCTGCAGTATTTTGTGCTTGGCTCTGATGTTGTTCTTATTCCCTCACAGTAGTGACTTATTTTTCTGTTTGTTCCTAGCTGGTGAGGATAGCCAAGGTGCTGGGAACAGAAGATCTGTATGACTACATTGACAAATACAACATTGAACTGGATCCACGTTTCAATGACATCTTGGGCAGGTGAGCCAAGCTGGGAAGTAGTTCAGAAGATGGTGAGCTCGTGGTGGAGTTGGAGCTTGAAGTAAACAAAGACTTTTGCTTTAGGGAGAACTGCTGCTTTGTGCTTTTGAGCCAGCTTTACCAGTGCTTCCCATGCACCTGTATCTGCAAATGCATTTGAGGAACGAGTTTTAAGTGTCATTTAAGTTAATAATTGAACTGCCAGAGCATAAAGCATGAAGGGCCAACGCTCCTTCTGGTATTGCAGAAAAAAGAGCAGCCGTGGTTCTCAAGACTGTCAAATAAGAAATGAATTTCTGCTGATGGCACTGGCATGTTATTTTCCTCGTAGTTATTTCATGTGTGACCAGGAAGCAGTGTTCAGAGTGTAACAGAAGAGCAGAACCGAGGCTTCAGGCCCATCCCTTCACTCTGACCTCGTGCTGTCCGAAGTGTGGCAGCTGTGCCGCCACGTGGAGGCTGGGTGTACTGCTCTGTGTGCTCTGTGTGCTCTGCTTTGGCTCAGCCCCTCGCTGCTGCAGCAAGCAGTGACCTGTCTTTGAGCTGGGCATCTGCTGCAGCCCTATCTTTAAAAACAACAGGAATCTGGCACCTGTGTGCCCTGCCTCACCTCACCTGGCTGCCTTGTTTTCTGCAGACACTCCCGTAAACGATGGGAGCGCTTTGTTCACAGCGAGAACCAACATCTGGTGAGTCCTGAAGCTCTGGATTTCTTAGACAAGCTGTTGCGATATGACCATCAGTCACGACTCACAGCAAGAGAAGCCATGGAACACCCCTACTTCTGTAAGTAGCAGGTCTTACAGCTGTCTGCTGTTCACGCTCACACCTCTGCATTCCTTCCTCTGGGAAATCTCCATCTGAGTAGTTGTACAGACAGAGCTAAGAACTGCAACAGCAGAGGCTGCTGCTTTGCAAGTAGCTGTGCTGGAGCTGAGGCTGCTCATCTGAGGTGGATAAGTAGGCCATGGCCATCTGCAGCAGCTGAGGAGGCAGCGCTGTGTGCCTCTGTCAGGGCAGTGAATCAGCAGCACTGCATTAAAGAATCTTTGCTGCTGAACCTGTGCTCATTTCAGCAGGTGGCTGAATATACGGATTCCTGTGTCTGATGAAACCAGGTGACTCTGCTTTGTTGAGAAACAGGCCCTTTGAAGTCATCCTGTTGCTAAATGTGCCTTAGTCAGTGGTGTGTTGAAGTCTTGTTTTCCAGGCAGAAAATGAAACTTTCACTAGTAAACGTGAAAAATTAATGTTTGAATGCTTGCAGTTTTCCCAGAAACCTACATATTAAGCTTTGTGAGAACAGCTGTATGACAACACAAATAGGAGTATCTGCTCAGGTTCTTTATTTTTGTTGGTGCTGAGCTGACTTCTGTAAATAACAACCAACAGTCCTATGCTTGTGGCAAATGTTCAGCTGAAACGTTTTGCAAATATGAGCGTTAGCAGAGCTGAAAGCTGTGAGAGAGAGAGAATGGGGAAACAGCAAAATTACTTTGTGTCTAGGTGCAGATAAAGGTTGTACTGAAGGCATTGTGAGGAAAGGCAAACTTGAAATTACTTCACCTGCTGCAGTAGGCTTGGAAGGCAGGAAGGGGATGTCCTGATGGCAGTGCTTTTTACCTGCATCTTATGGAAGGCAACACGTGGACCTCATTAGAGTTCACAGCTGTGGGATATGGTTGGAGACATGACTTGTTACCACCTGTGATGTTTCTGCTCACTGCATTCATTTGCTGGGTTTAGTTTTATGAAACATCTGACGCAGAAAGGAGATAACTGCCATGGCTTCAGCTCTTAGTGCCGAGCAGTCCTGCTGATCTCCACACCACAGAATTTGGGCAAGCTGTCCTTAACGTCTGGACTTTTTTAGTTGTGTTACCTTTGTACCCTGTTGGGTGCCTTCCAGCAGAGTCAGTGCAAACTTCTGTGCTCCAGTAAGTGCTGGCTGATACCATCTGTGCCACAGGCAGCTCGCCAGCACTGGCTGTGCACTGGGGTCAGGCAGGCAGCGTGCCTCAGTGCTGTCTGGCAGCACGGTGCCTAAGGACAGTGTGCTCTTCCTAGATCCCATTGTGAAAGACCAGGCTCGGATGGGCTCGTCCAACATGCCGGGTGGCAGCACTCCTGTCAGCAGTGCGAGTATGATGTCAGGTCAGTTCTGCTGCCTCTTGTTGGTGTTGCAAAGCGTTTCTGTGAATGTCTGGGAGGGTGAGTTCTGCAGCTGGGGTGTTGGGGTGTCTCCTGCAACTGAGGATGAAGGCAGGGCTAAGAAGACATGGGTGGGAGAGAGGGAAAAGAGCCTCGCTGTGGCCTGACCTGCTTTCCTGGCCTTGTGTTTTGTAAAGTGCTTTGCAGGTGGAATTTCTGGCAGCGGCTGGAAGGACAGTGATGCTACCACATCTGCCCTTTGGTGACACTTCAAATGTGCATAAGCTGAGCTTTTTCTGTTAAAGATCTTTGCTCTCAGCTTATTTTGGTAGCTCTGAAAATGTAAGGAAGTGACCCGCGAGGATGACTTGTCCTTTCAAAAGCAGCACAGCAGACCTGGATATCCGTGCACCCGTTTCACTCTAATTCTTGCTTACCTGTCTCTGTTCCAGGGATTTCTTCAGTGCCAACACCTTCACCCCTTGGACCTCTAGCAGGCTCACCTGTCATTTCTGCCACCACCACCCTGGGGATGCCCGTTCCAGCTGCTGCAGGCGCTCAGCAGTAGTGATGGGTTCTGTCTCCTGCTGCCTGAGCTGAGTCAGGTGGGGAAGAGGTTTCCCCCTCCGCCTCTCCTCAGGACGCAGCTCGTGCCTGGCAGGGGAAGGGAGGGGATGAACGCTTTGGAGGCACCGTGTCTGAACTGTTGCTTGTGGATTTATAGTAGTTCAGTCATTATATACAAAATTATTATAGGCTGATTTTTCTTTTTTTACTTGAACTTTTCGTAACTCAGGGGATTCCCTGAAAATACCTACAGATGGAAAATTTCTTGGACAGTTTCCCTTCCCCCTTCCTCCCCCCCCCAAAAAAAAGTACTCTTCATTTAAGAGCAAAGATGAATCAACAGCATTTCCAAACTATTGCATCCTGCTGGAAATCTCTTCTCTTCATGTTCCCACCATTACTCCTCCACGAGCACACACCTTGGGAGATCGTGCTGTTCTCCAGAGACTACCAAACCAAGTCTTCATGAGGCAGGGGAGGGGGATTCTCTAAGTACCACTCACTCACTTTAACCCCATAGCCTGCATATGATTCAGTACACTGAGGAGACAATTCCAGTATGGAGAGGCGGTATAAGCTTAAAAGAAGTGCAGATAATGTCTAAAACCCTATTTTGATCAAATCATGTCTCCTTAGGAGCCGACCAGAATGCCAACTCACCCCCTTGCATGTAATTTTAGTCTTCAAACATAAAGTGACCGATCCAACTGAAGTCCTCTCCGCCTCCTGGTAAAGGTGCTGCTTTCGAGCCGTCCTCTGCTCAGCACCTTTCTCATGGAAGGGGAGGCTTCCTGCCATTGCTTGGCTTGGATCTCTGGAATTAGTTTGTTATTGGGTATATTGTTTTTAAATTGTTGATATAGGTTTCAAGCTGGTGGCAACTTAAAGCTGGAAAAATCAGACTGCGCCAAGTCAGATACCACATCTTCACCCACCATCCCCTCCCTCACGTGCCATGTGGTGAGAATACCAGTTACCTCACAGTCTTGTAAATATGCACTGAGAGGAAGGAGCGAGCAGACTTAACTTAAACTGAAATGGTAGATCAGTAATTGTGGACAAATATTATCATTGACAACAAAGGAAAAGAAAAAAAAGCACCCCTGTTACAGCCCTGCTACCCCTTGCTGTGTATATATACTTTGTCCTTCATATGTGAAAGATCCAGTGTTGGAATTCTTTGGTGTAAATAAACATTTGGTTTTATTTATCGAGGTTAGATTTAAGTTCCCTGTGTAGGGGGCTCAGGGGTGGCGTCACACACACGGACATCTCCCACCCTGAGCTGCAGCGGCTGCTGCTTCTGGCCATCGCTCGTTTCTCCGGGCACTTCTCAACGCTTCGCCTTTCCTTCGGGCGGGAGGAGCGGGGCCTGGCAGCGACGCGGCCTTGTCCCGTCGGCTGCGCCGCGTCTTTAAGCGCCGACTACAAGCGAACAACGCGCGGCAGGTCGCACAGCGGTGTGAGCAGCGCGGGGCCCCGAGCCCGGACCTTTCCTGACTCCGAGTGAGGTTGGTTGGGAGGCAGGAGGCTACGGAGCTGCGTTTGAAGCCGGGTGAGCGCAGCCCGTTGCCGCCGTGCGATCTGCCCCGCGGGGCGCTGAGCCACGTTTTCACACCGCTGTGCCGTAACGCGGCGGCCCGCAGGATTGGGGCCGGGCCCAGAACGGCACGCGTGCTTCCCGCCTTCGTCTGCGCATGCGCGCGTTCGCCCCGCCCACGCGCCACCGCCACGCGGCCGCGCCTGCGCACCGCAGCGCCGTGACGTAACACTCGCGCGCCGCGGGCGGAGGGGCGGGGGAGCGGGTGGGGGTGCGGAAGGGACGGGACCGGACCGGGCGGTGCGGGAGCGCCCAGCCCCAACCCGGCCCGGCCGTCGGCTCGGCATGCGCCGCAGCGCCCGGGAACAAACATGGCCCGGCGGAGCCCGCCGCGCAACGGTGTCGGCGGCCACGGTACGGCCCGGCCGGGCCTGTAGTGGGAGGGGGGGGGGCAGCGCCTCCTCGCTCAGGGGAGTGGGCTGGGGGTGCTCGAGCGCCGCCTCGCGGGCGCCGGGTGGGGTCGTTGGCAGTGCGCCCCCATGCGGCGGGGCGGGGCGTTACGGACGGGCGTTATGGCGGGGGGACAGCGAGGGGTCGTTTGGCTCCGGGATGGGGCACCGCGGGATGCGGCTGTTGGGGACTCGTCGGTGCTGCCCGTGCGATGGGTGGGAGGGAAAGAGAAGGAAAGCTGCGGTCACCGGGCGCTTGCTGGATGCTTTAACGTTGGTGTTCGGAGGGAGCTGAAGCTCTGCCGCAGGCTGCTGTGGTGGGTTTTCATCCAAAAAGTGTGCCAAAAAAAGATTCTCGGCGCTTCACTGCGTGGCTCCTGTGTCCCACGAGCACCGAAACCCCACAGGGCAGCAGGAGGTGGGCGTCAGGGAGAGTCGGCCCCTCCCAGCTCCTCCCGGCCCACGTCCTCTGCAGTTCCTCATCCGGTGGATCCCGGTTGGGTTCCATGAGCAGTGGGAGCTGCGTCCCTTGGAAAAGCCGTCTGAGGAAGGATGGCGTTGGCAGCTTCACCCTGCGTGGCCCTACAGAGCCTCTGTGAGCAGCGAGATGGGAGCTGCGTGTTGCATGGAATGGCCCTGAACTGCCTCCCTGCTGCCCACCTGAGGCTGTGCTGACCTGCACCATGGGCAGGGTGAAGCAGTGCCCTTCCTCAGCCCCACACTAAATGCTCCCGTGTGCCATCTGTGTATTTAACCCACGTGAAACCCACCCTCTGTGTGCGTTCTTCTCTCCCCTCCCTGCCCCAGAATCCCTGTACTCTACAAAGCAGTTCCTTTAATAGCAGCTCACCTGCACAAGGCTAACAGCTAGAAAGTTTGTGTTTGTTGGGAGGTAAGTCAGTACACTGTGATACTTGTAACTGGTCTAAATGTGACCTTCCTTGGGACAGCTGCTGTCAGTAGTTCAGACCTCTCCCTGGGCTGATGGTAGCCAGGAGCTGCTGCCTGGCCAGGAATCAGCAGGAACATGAGGCCCAGGTGTTACAGAGTGCACAACACCTGAGCTGGGGCTGAGTCAGCCCTTCCTGGAGTGGAAACAGTTGCAAAATAGCTCTGTGCTGCCATCACGGTCCTGTGTGGAGCTGTGATCTGATGAGGGTGACGAGCAGCTCTGTGGCACTTCTGCGTCAGTGGGACAACCAGTGCTGAGCCTGTGCTGGTCACAGTGTGGGTTGGCCATGGTCTGTGCTAGCAGGGCCTGCGCTGACGTGTCCTGTTATCTTGCTTTGTGCTTTCCTTGCAGACTTTGACTCCAAGAAGAAAAGAAAAGTGGCAGAAATTTACCAGGCCCTGAACAGCGACCCTATTGATGTGGCAGCGCTGAGGCGAATGGCCATCAGTGAAGGAGGGCTGCTGACCGATGAGATCCGCTGCAAAGTGTGGCCAAAGCTGCTGAGTGTGAACACAGATGACCTGCCCCCCCTGCCAGGTACAGGGCAGCCCAGGCAGGGTTCTAATGAGAATCTTTCTGCTTTAAGTTTTCTCTCTGCATGCTGGAGTGCTTCCCATTGAGCTCACACAGAAAGGGACTCGTGCTGCGTAACGAACACCGCAGGCTGTGCGCTCTGTATCTTGTGTAAATGGCAGATCAGGAAGCAGAGAGCTTCCTAAAACAACATTTCTGTTGTTCCCTGGAGGTGTCATTATCTTTAGTGACAGATCTTTAGATGTGGTTCTTGTGGCGTTGTGTGGTTGGTTGGCACGCATGCGTCGGTTGGTGGCAAGAGGTGTCAGGCTGTTTTTGGTGGCTCTTTGGTGAGGTGGCTGTGCTGAGGAGTGCTGGGATGGGATATGCTGAGGTGTCTGCCAGCTGCAGGTGAGGCAGTTTGTGTGAAGCCTGCGTGATGTTTGCTCAGAAGGGAAGGAGGGGAAATGACCTGCATGATGTGACACCTGCATGGCTTTGAACCTCAGGTGTCGCAGTCACCGCCCCCAGGGACAGATTCTGTTGTTGCTCCTGAATTTGTGGTCATTCAGAAGTGCTTGTATCCCTGTGTCAGTCGAGAGCTGGATTGTGGTAGGTGATCAGAGCTGCTGGAAGACAGCGTTGCATTTCATGTGACAGCATAGGTAGCGTGCCAGCAAATTCTTTTCACTTCTGTTAGAGCTCTCTTAGCTACCAATGGGTGTTTGCTTTTTCTCCTCTGAATTATTTCTTTCAGCCATTCTTCACTGCCTCCACAGTGTGTTGTGCCTCTTGCTGTTGCTGAGGACGCTGTGAATTTCACAGTGTAGATGGTGGAGCTAAGATATTTCCAGGAACTCTGGCAGTGGTGTCAGTTTAAGCATCTTAACATATGTTTAAATAATAGCCTTGTTTCCTTGCACTGCTGTTTGTGCAGCAGTGAAAGTGAGAGGCCAGGGCCGCTGTGTGACGTACAAAGAACGGGATGGGGGTGTTGCATGGCCTCCTCCTCCTGGCCAGTTCCATCTCCCCGTGCTCTTACTGGTACCTTTGCACTACTCCACAATTACCTACTTCCTCTTTTCTTTCAGCAGGAAAGGAGCTGCGGGAGGGCAATAAGGATTACCAGCAGGTGTTACTGGACGTACGGCGCTCCCTGCGGCGCTTCCCACCAGGTGAGAGGGGTTCACAGCGAGCGCCTGACCAGCGCTGCAGGGAGGCTGACCTCTAGAAAGCCTCCCTATGTCAGCTCACAGCAGCTTCTTTGCACACTGGAGCTGTTCCACAGCTGGCGGCTTCCTCCAGCCCCTGCCTGGGCTGCAGCTGGGGCCTGATGCTTTTCTGTCTGTCCTGTCCGTGCTGAGACCCTCTGTGCTCAGTCCTCTGTTGCTGAACAGTACCAGTGCAGAGATGTCCGATGCTGCACAGCCCTCAGCTGTTGTCACCAGGGTGAGATTAGGGCTGATGGAACGCTTGAGGAATTGACCGTTTGCTTCAGTGTATTTCAGACAGGGAACTGTGCCCGAGGAGTGTGGAAGGCAGATCTATCAGAGCAGGTTGTTTCACAGCAGTCCCCACGCCAGATTTCCCTCTGTGGTTCCCACACCAAACTGAAGAGAAGTAACCTTTGGGAGCGGAAGGTTCCTGCAGTTGTTTGGTTCTGAAGGGTGGCTGGTGCCTTGTCGTGCTATTTATAAAGCAAGTAATCCAGCAGCTATCTAACTCTGCAGAGCAGCCGTTGTTCCTGGCCAGGATCTGCATCCCCCCTTCTGCTGCTTTATTGTGCATAAACAGTTGATTCACTCTGCTTCTCCTTCGGGTGCGGAGACGGCCTGATTCCTGAAGGCTCTGCTGCTGCTTCGTTTGTTTGTTTTTGCCCTTGAATGGCGACCTCCTCCTGCCTATTTTTAGAAGCATCAGTGAAAGAGGGGAAAAGGAGAACTTTGTCATTGCAGGATCTCCTCTGGGACGTTCTGCTTGGCTGTAGGGCATTTTCTCTGTTGACAGGGACTGCCAAAAAAACAGCTGCAGCTGTGCGTGGCAGGAACAGTGTTTTTCCCGTGACATCCTGTCCCTGAGCACATGTTGTGAGCAGAGGACCGATATGAAGTTGTGGCGATTGAGGCCTTGCAATCTGATGCAGCTGGCACGGTTTCTGTGAAACCTCTGTCCTGTTTAATTTTTTTCTAGAGCCCTTGGGAAATTAAAAATGATTAAAATGTCCTCAGCAGTGCTGGATGTGCAGTGCAATTTGCTCCTCGCAGCACTGTACAAACACCCATAACCCTGTCATCCACGGTGAACTTCCTGGCAGGTAGGGACCCTGCAGCTCCAAAGGTTAAGCAGGCTCACAGCTGGTTGGCTTCTCCAGGGCCAGCAGGAGCAGCATTAGGAACCTGGGTCTTACACAGCTTTCTCAGCCCGCTCCCTGTTGTCCCACATCCTTTGTGATGAGGCTGGTTGATAAACATGCAGGCAGGGAGCAGCGGGTGATGCAGCCCATCTCACCAGTGCCTTGTCCCCGCAGGGATGCCGGATGACCAGAGAGAGGGGCTGCAGGAGGAGCTCATTGACATCATCCTCCACGTCCTGAAGCGCAACCCGCAGCTGCACTACTACCAGGGCTACCACGACATCGTGGTCACTTTCCTCCTGGTGGTTGGGGACAGGTTGGCCACAGCTCTGGTGGAGAAGCTCTCGACGCATCATCTCAGGTACTCAGAGACTCAGCCAGGGGAGAGGAGCTGCTGTGACTGTGGAGGCAGAGGGGTGGCCTGTCCTGAAGCAGAGCCCCATTAGGGCTGGCCTCTCTGTCTGTCTGTGCCCAGGAGGTGCTGCTGGAGATGGCACGTGGGATTGCAGGCAGCTGTGCTCTGGGGAAGGGCTAACAGGGCTGTCAGTTAGTTTGTATCATCTCTTGAAGATGAAGAAGCAGCAAACATGCATTACTCATGGTTCTGTTGGCCGTGTGTCCTGTCAGGGCCTTTCTGGCTCCTAGGGCTCAGCACAGTGCTTCCCACTCAGCCTTTGTAGAGCCCTAGGAAGTTCTGCACTGAAACTGTGGTCTGTACAGCCAGTGTCCTAAGCCCCAGGTTAAGTGCCTTTCCTCTTTGTGCATTGAAATGAGAACAAGCCTTCAAGTTGGTGAGTGCTTTGGAGGGGTTTTGTCTCCTCTCCCATGCGACAAGCTGAAAAGGCTTTAGGGCTCGTGTGTACAGCAAAGAAAGAAGTGTCCATTGACACCACTGTGATTGTGTGGGTCCAGGTTTTGTGTGCACCCACATTGGTAGGCAGGGAGCTCTACAAACAGAATTCCCTGGGATTGAGAGCCACCCTCCCAGCAAAGCTGTTTATTGCAGTGCATTTATTTACTTCCTGTGTGCCTCACTGGAGGAGAAACTCACTGATGTTGTTTCTTGACAGAATTCTTTTCTAAATCTTTTCTCAGGGATTTTATGGACCCAACAATGGATAATACCAAGCACATTTTGAATTACCTGATGCCCATCATAGACCAGGTGAACCCTGAGGTGCATGACTTCATGCAGAGGTACGCAGACGTTCCCTGGCTCTGCCCTACCTCTCTCACATTGTCGTACTTGGGGCCATTTGCACCAGCCTGTCCCCAGCACCACGGTGGCTTCTTGTGAGTCACCAGCTGGCCCACAGCTCATGGCAACAGCCCAGAGCCACGTGGCACCCTGCTTACAAGCAGACCCAAACACACTGCCTATCCTGGGAGCTTTTAAATGATGGTGTCTTCACCCCAGTGGCCTGTGTTGGAAAAGCTGGGAGTTGCATTACTTTGCATTCCACGTCATACAAAGCTGCAAGTTAGCAGTTTGCAGTTTTGGGGTTGCTGTTGCATCTCTGTGGTTTGTTGCTAGCTCTGGGGATAATTGCCAGGCTGTGCAGCAGGGATGCAGAAGTGTAGCATGAATAGAATAAAGCAGAAGTGAGAAGGTAAGTCAGCAGGGTCTGTGCAGAGCCCTTTTCTGGGCAGCTGTCTGTCAGCGTTTCACAGCCAGCATGCCTTCGGGTATCAAGCTTGCAAATTCTAGAGCAGTGCTAAGTTTCAGGGTTGAATGTGAAAAGCTGGCTGTGCTTCAGCAGTGTCTCCAAGCTGCCAGCAGCAGCTGACCTAACTGTGCTTTCTCTCTGTGCAGTGCGGAGGTGGGAACCATCTTTGCTCTCAGCTGGCTCATCACGTGGTTTGGGCACGTTCTGTCTGACTTCAGGCACGTCGTGCGATTATACGACTTCTTCCTGGCTTGCCATCCACTGATGCCCATTTATTTTGCTGCTGTGGTACGTGTTGGCTGGAATGGTGGCAGGGGATGTGCTGAGCCACTGCAAGGTGCTGTGGGGCTGCGCAGAGGGTCTGGCAGTGCTGGTGCTCTGCTGCCCTCTGCGTTTCTCTTCCCATATGGGCTGTGTTTCAGTGCAGTGTATCCCCTGAGGAAGGGCAGATCTTTCAGACAGAAGTGAAATGTTTTTCTCTGCTGGCCCCGAAGTGTCAAAGAGGGACAAGGAGCTGCCCCTGTTTCCCTGGCTGTGTTCAGTGCTCTCTCTCCTCTGCAGATTGTGCTTTACCGGGAGCAGGAAGTTCTGGACTGCGAGTGCGACATGGCCTCGGTGCACCACCTCCTGTCCCAGATCCCACAGGACCTTCCTTATGAGACTCTGATCAGCAGAGCAGGGGACCTTTTTGTTCAGTTTCCTCCATCTGAGCTCGCCAGGGAGGCGGCACAGCAGCAGGCTGAGCGGTGAGTGCAGGGCGGCCTCGTGCCCCCACTGTAGGAGCTGTGCCTGGGTTCTGCACCTTGCCCTGGCCTGCTCTCGTTGCCTGGTGAAGACCTCCCTGCCCAGACAGGAGGCTCTAAGGCACTTCTTGACCCATTTCTTCTCTTGCAGGACCGCGGCTTCCACGTTTAAGGACTTTGAGTTGGCATCAGTGCAACAGAGACCAGACACTGTGTTGAGACAGCGCTTCAGGGAGAGGCTCCGAGGGGAGGAGCGGACAAAATCCATTTTGACAAAGCCAAGGACCAACCGTTTTGTCAAGCTGGCAGTGATGGGGCTGACGGTGGCACTGGGAGCAGCTGCCCTGGCTGTGGTGAAGAGTGCACTGGAGTGGGCACCCAAGTTTGAACTACAGATTTTCCCCTGACGCCAAAGGAAGTGCTTACCTTGTCGTCACATCCCACGTCGACACAGAATGATGTTTGGAAGGACGTGTCTGGAAACAACCTGTCTCAAGAGTTTTCTGTTCTTGCTGCGTCCCGTGATGCTCTTGGCCTTTGTGACAGAGACTGATGGGAACCAGTCCAGCAGGATTGTTCCCCACACCGACACTCACCTCGTTTTCTCCTCCCCATGCAGGGGCAAGCAGGTGGACGCTGCCACTGTACGGATGAGTCTGACTTCCAGCCTTGTGCAAGTGACCACGAGTGGTGAGCTGTGCGTGGGCTGTGCTGAGGCAATCCTGCTTCCTCTGTTGGGAAGTGAGGAGGTGCTGGGAGTGGGAGTGAGGGCAGGTGCTCACCTAGGGGGGAGTGTCAGGGCAGGGTTTGGCCTGCTTAGTGGTGAGAGGCTTGTACGTGCTCCTGTGGAATAGAGGAGCCCTCTGGCTCTGTATCACTCTGGCTGCCAGGGCAGCCTGCCTTCTCCATTTGCATTCACCAGTGCTCTGACCCCCTTCTCTTTCCTTACAGGCAGCCTCTCAGTAGAACCAAACCTGTACCAAGCCCCTGTCAGCACCCCGCCGTGAGGTCATCTCCAATGCATAACAATTTGTGATTCCACTGTCTTGTTTGTGGACTGGTCAGCTTGCAGGGGACAGGTCTGGCGGGGTCCTCTGCTGGCAACAGCAGCACAGTCGTGTTATCAGGTCAGTGAGGTGATGAAGGCGTTGTTCATCCTGCCTGTGTCAGATCCCATCACCACAAGCATTAGCAGAGCCGTTAACGCTGCTCATTTTCACAGCTCTGGGAGCAGACTCCAAAGTGGAGAATGGCTTTTTTTTTACACTTAGAAACAGTTTGCACAGGACAAAAAAGTCTGCTGCAGACATCTGTCATAATTCACCCCCACGAGCTGATCAGATTCTGTGACACCCCTCAGAATAACACAGATGAGGGGTTTCCCAGAAAGGCCACCCCAGTGCTGCATGCCCCACCTGGCCCAGCCTTGCTGCTCCCTGCCTGCTAAGAAAGCTCAGCAGCAAATTCTGCTCTAAGAGCTCCATATCCACTGACACAAAGCCAACAGACACTCTATGCCTCTACCTCCCCCCTGAACTGCTAAACCTCCCACAAGTGCCCTTACCTGCCCCGACTGGTTCCCACCCAGCTGCCTGCCCCTGCTGTCTTGTGCCCAAAGAGTTGTAGATTTCTGGTTATAGAAGGAAGCTCATGCCCTGCAAGGCTCAGCACCCTCCTGTCCCTGACCACCTGTGTGCAAATTCATCACCGCATCCATGCAAGTTTTGGATTGCTCCGTGGGCCCTCGCTCTGTGGCACAGGTAGGGAAGCAGGACCTGGTCCCTCATCTGTGTTGGCATCTCCTGGCTGTGCCACTTACTGGTGCCAACACCAGGGCTCTCTCTGCCTCTCCTGAGGGCTGGTGGCAGCCTGTGTGGCTGTTTCCGTGGCTGAAGGCAGAGTGCTTTCCTGCACGTATGGGGGGACTGGCAGTATGGGGCAGCAGCAGCCTCTGCCAAGGCAGTAACAGTGAGGGAAACAGGCTGTGACTTTGCACTTTAGAAATTTGTGGTACCAGAGTTTGTGGTGGCTGTGCCACGAGCTGGAGGTGCTGCTGGGGGTCCCCTGCCACACCTGGGCAGTGCAGTGCCTGGGTGCCCTCTGCCCCCCCCCCCCCCAGGTGAGGGATGTGGGGGGCACAGCGCCCTCCTGCAGCCTCCTGCTCTCTGCCCACCGTGCACTTTAGTTCCTGCGTTGCCCAGGGGAAGGGTGAGCGAGGGGGTGGTCTCTTGGGGCGCTCCAGTGACTCTGTACAGACTTATACATACCTGTGTAAATGCAGATTTGTACAAACCCTATTGCTGTAAAATAAACAGTTACTAAACGTTTTCCTCCCCCTGTGCCACCAGGGGCCGGCGCTGCCATGAGCTCTGGGGCCGCGTCCCATCCCACAGCAGCCAGGACAGCGTGGGAAGAGGAGCAGGAGCCAGATGGGTGCCTTTGTGCTGCTGCCCTCCCTCTGCCCACGGCTCTGGAATGCCGGCATGCGCTTTTGCCCTTGGCTCTCCCAGCCTTCCCCAGCCAGCAGCACGGCTGGCAGCACAGGGATGGAAATAGCCTGACCCAGCAGCCCATTGTGTGCCTGGGGCTGGCTGCCCGGCCGGGAGGAGATCCCACACTGCTGGGCACTGTGCCCCTCTGTGGTGTCCCTGTGCTCTGCGTGAGGCTGGTGGCCGTGTTTACCAGCTCAGCCAGGCTTATTTTTAGCTTGCTCTGACTTCATCTGGAGGAGCAATTTTCTTAATAGTGCCCTCAGCCCTTCAGAAGGAATGCAAAAGCAGAGGCCCTGCAGCCCCTTCCTCAAGGAAGCAAGGGATGCTTGAACGTTGTGTGGGCTGGAGAGCTGCATTTGGGAGCTGCACGGACCCCTTAGTGGGCTCAGTCCCTTCTGTTGGTGTAGGGCTGCTCCCAGCCTGGCAAGGTATTTGTACTCAGTTGTCTTCACTGAGGGAAAGAAAATGATCTTGGGTGTTGTGCAGCAACCCTTGGGACTGTGAGGGGCAGGTGGGTGCCTGTGCCTGGCAGTGCTCTGTGTTGTAAGAGCCCTGCCCAGCTCTGATGCACTGCTGCTGCAGCACACATCCCCCATACACAACACTCATTGCCCCGGAGCTGAGCCTCAGCAGCAAGAACAGCCCACAGCCACGTGTCTTTTATTCACCCCAGAAAGAGCAAAATGAAGGAAACCAAGGTGAGTGCAGAGCATCTGCTCCATCGCAGGGGCTGCGGCGTGGATGAACGCATGGGGCTGCAGGGCAGGGTGCTGTGCTGGGGGCAGAGCTCCCACTGCAGGCACCTGGCAGCATTGGGCATTTGCAGCTGCTGGCTGTGCCTGTTCGACCCCATGGCTGGTTGGGGAGCAGGTGGAGGAGCTGCAGTCTGCTGGGATGTCCTGGGCCAGGACCTGATGGTGGCCGATGGTGCACAGGATCCTCCAGGTGCTGAGCGCAGGGAGTCCCTGTGGCACAGCTGGGATCCAGGTCAGCCATCTGGGTGCCAGGAGGGGATCCAAGGTGGGATCTAGTTGAGTCCAGGCTGGATCTGGGCTGAGATCAGGCTGTGTCAGGTCAGGATCAGGGCTTTGCTGGGCTGCTGCCTGCTCCATCCGATCCCATTGCATCCCATCCCATCTCCACCACATCTATGAACTGGGTTGCAGCACCCCAGCCCAAGCAGCCTCCCCTCCTCCCACTCTGCCCACCCCCACGCACGCAGCCTCAAGCAGAGCATTTCCCAGCATTTTACCTAGCAGCAGCAGTGCAACTCAATGCACTCACACCTCCTGCCGGGGCTGGACACCATGGAGCTGGGAGGCACTGAAGGGCACCGCGGGGCCCTGGGGGCTGCTCTGCAGGATGGGTGACAGCTGCTGCTCCTCTTCTTGGGGGCCACCCCAAGCTCTGCCCAGCACACAGCACAGCAGCCCCACAGCACCCAGCACTGCAGCTGTGATGCACAGCGCCGTGCCCAGCAGCCGGCACGCACTCAGCACATGGTTGTAGCGCATGGCCTGCACGTCCAGCACCACCAGATCCTCTTCCTCAATGCTCTCCAGCCTGGGGGGCACCAGCCAGCCTGTGGTCAAGGCAGCCACTCCCACCAGCAGAAACAGAGTGCCTGTGGAGAGGGTCACCTGGGAACAGGAATGGGGAGCGGGTCAGCCTAGAGGAGTGCATGGCAGGTATGGGGGTTCCTGAGTTACTTCACACAAGAAGAGAGGGAAGAAAAAATTGGGAGAGGGGGATCTCTTACCTTCCAGATAATGGAGGGCCATACACCATGGGGATGGGAAGGTGAAGACTCATCTGTGTCCCCATCAGGGCTGGCCCCAGCGCAGTCCTCATAGAAGAGGTGGAGGTAGGAGCGCACCCCATACCACTTCCCCTGTGCCACGCTGGGGCCGTGGCTGCAGCTGCAGGAGGGCTGCAGGGTGGGCATCTGGCCTGGGGGAGTCATGGGGGGCTGTGGCATCACCTGAGCCCTCCCCACAGCCACAGCACCCATAGGGCTTAGTTCTCCCCTGGGCCCAGGGCAGGGGATGGGGTGCTGGTGCCAGATGTGCCCCCCTGCCCGTTCTGGGGAGCACTGAGAGGGACTGCCGTTTCTGCCTGGGACAGAGAAGCCCTTATCCCATGGGATGCAATAGGGGAGGGGGCACTCCGTGCCCTGCCTGATCTGGGACAGACCCAGCAGGATCGGGACCCACATCAGCCCACCCACAGTGCCCCATAGGCACCAATGGGGATGGAGGGGCGGCGGCAGGGAGGGACGTGGCCTCCACCGTGTCCCCATGGCTGGGGGGCTGCTGGGTGCAGGGACACAGCCACCGAAGTCAGAGCGCCGTGTCCCTCCCCTCCGCCGTAGGGACATTGCCATGGGAACTGCCTGCTCAGCCCTTCGTCACTGCGTCCCTGCAGCGTGGTGTGTGAGAGGGGGGAGATGACGTGTGGGACCCTTTCGGTGCTGGGCTGTGATGCTGAACAAAGCCTGGCGCCGGAGAGGCCTCACAGGGGGGGAGCAGCAGTCCCCCATTGCATGGAACATCCTGGTGCCACAGCCCCAGTGAAGCCACAGGGTCCTTCTTGCATGCAGGGGGTGCTGCCTGGGTTTGGGAGGGACACCCATCCTGCATCCAATACACAGCATCACCCCTACCTGCTCCTTGCTTACCTGGGGGGGGTTTCAGCACATCCTTCCCTGTCCCAGCGCTGTCACCAGCAGTGCTCACTTTGCTGTCCCCGTCTCTGTGTGGGATCCCACAGCTGGGACCCAGTGATAGAGGCAGTGCTGGGCACACTCCCTGCTTCCCAAGGGGGTTTTGGGGCAGTGTGAAGGGAGCAGCGTGACTCCTTGCTGCACGGCTGAGAGCTGCCACCGTCTGTGAGCCGCTGCTGTGTGTGACTCAGAGCGGGGCTGGCAGTGGGGACACGTGGCTGTGCGGGCAGCACCGGGTGCTCAGCAAGGCCAGGCTGGACCAGGGGCATCCCAGCACACTGCTGTGTCGTGGGGTCACTGTATAGGAGCTCAGACTCACAGCCGAGGGCTGCCACATGCCTGGGTCACAGCCAGGCTGTTCAGTGCTGCCGAGATTGCAGGCAGAGGCACCTCCATGTCCCACAGTGGGTGTTGTCCTGTGGGTATCGGGGGGGGGGGGGGGTCTCAGCAGGGCCAGCCCAGTACCCAGCCCCTCCCCCAGCAGGGATGGGAGGGCAGGTGGTACCCAGGGATGCTGTGGTACCCAAGGATGCTGCAGGCTCCCTTGTTGCCGTGGCAACAGCTGGAGGGGGGGGGGGGGGGGGGTGATGCAAGCGCTGTGTGCCCTCCCCTTGAGGCCCCATCCAGTGGGGCCAGATCAATGCCTGCTGCCACATTACGGAGCCAATGGGGCTGTGTGAGCACATGCATGCACGGAGCACATGCACAGAGCACACGGTGCTCATGGATGCATGGTTGTGCACACACACGCATGCAGGTACAGCCTATGTGGGTTGGTATTGGAGCACCACTGAGTGTTGGGACCCACGGGTTGGTAGTGGAACCCCATGGAGTTGTATGAGAACCACTGCGTCTGAGCCAGAGCTGGGTTCTGACCCCCAGAACCCCACATCCCTGGGGGGTCCCCATATTTGTGCAGGTTGGGGAGGTGTAAGCGGCGCAGGAGGAGCCGGAGCCACGTGGAGCAGACCAACACACTTTATTCCATAGTCACAACACTGGGATAACCACTAGCCGAGCTTCCACACCACCGGCCCTGGCCGTGCCGTCGGGGTGGCCACGGGTGGGACATCCCCTCCACCAGCCCAAGACAACAGCTGCAGGACCCCTCCCCAACACAACCAAAGGAACCCCGAGTGCTCGCGGCAGCTCCGGCCCGCTGGGATGCCGCCAAGGCGGCTTCTTCCTGAGAGAGGTTTGGTTTATTTTTTTTTTTTTTAATTATTATTATTTTTTCCACTTATTATTAATGACGATTCGCTTTGTCTCTAGTGATGAGGATGGCGCACGCACACTCGCTCGCACACCGGGGGAGGGAGGGGATGGGGGCTCGGCGGGACGGACAGGGGGGGGTTTCTATGCACTACAACCACATAGCACAGAACATCCACCAGGAGGGGCCACGACGGGCAGGGGGACGGGGACCACGCGCACGGTGTTGTGCTTGAGGCCGGGCTCGGAGGGGGGGGGGCTGAGCCAGAGCCTGTCCTGAGGAAACGCTGGGGATGCAGCCCCGCACCGTGGCCTCGGGCCCTGCCGGTTTTTGGGGTTTGGCTCCCCGCGTGGGACGTGGCGGCGGTAGGGGGGCTCCGATGCCCCCAGAAGGCAGCGAGGTGTCGGGTGGGAGCTGTGCGCCGGGGAAGCCCTTCAATGAACCCCAAACCCGGTTTGTGCGTGGAGCCCCTCGGCATTTGGCTTTTCTGCTGGGTTGGAGTGGAGGGAGAGGGTCTGGGGGGGGGATGCTCTCTACATGGGGACATGTGGGCGGTGCCCGCCTGCCTCGCAGGATCGCAGCCGCACCGGGGCTACTAAACACCGTCGGGGACGCAACACCAGACACACGCACACCACAGCTACCTCTACACACCTACACATCGATAACGCTGAGCTCGCGGCTCCGCAGCCCCGCGGCCACTGGGGCGGGAGGCACCCGGTGCCCTTAAGCGGGGACACGGCGCTCCCTGCGGCATCTCCGGCGACGCCAGCAGCCCCACGTTGCTCCCCATAGAGGGGGACAAAGGGGCTGAGCGCGCCCTGCTCGTGGCTCCATCCAGCCCCATTGCAACGGGTGCACGCGGGGCTGCGTGCAACCGGAGGAAACGGCATCCCCCCAAAAGCGGGGACGGGTAGGGTTAGGGGGATCCTTCGTGCCCAGATTCCCACTTTGGAATCGAGGACCTCAGAGGCCGCTTCTGTGCCACACGGACGTGGGATGGAGCCCCGCGTCCCCCGCCCTGCCGGCACCACGGCCATGTGCTCACAGACAGCGGAAGGAGGCGGATTGCTGCAGGAAGGAACCATTGGGGAAAGCAAAGACAAACGCGGCCGGAGGAGCGCTGCAGCAGGAGCTGCCCTGCTGGGGAGCTCCGCAGCGCTGCTCTGCGGTGAAACCCAGGCTCTCGGAGCCAACACCGGGCGCACCACAGAGGATCGCTGCACTGGAGCACCGCCCGCACCCCACATCTCCGCCAGCATCAGCTGCTGGTGGCGGCGGCGGCCCCGTGCGAGAGCTTAAGGCAGATTTCCTGCAGCACAGGCTTCGCCAGCCTTGGGGGGCATGAGCCCGGAGCGGGTCCCATACAGGCATGGGCACCCCACGCCTGGGCATTAATGCCGGGCAGGCTGCCCTACGGCACGGGCTCGCGGTGCGGGTGGCTGTGCACAAATGTCTGGAGAGAGGAATAACGCAGCCTCCCCGCGCCACGTGCGGATCACGTGCGTGCAACTTCGCTCTGCCCCAAACCGAGTGGCGGGGAGAACGCGCCGCAGCCAAAACGCAAGGAGAGAACCTGTCCTGAGGGACCCCCAACCCCAAAGGCGGGGACCACACAGCACAGGGCAGCAGGTAGGGAGGGACTGAGATGGGTTGTGCCACCACGGAGAGCCTCGGGCACGGCGCGGCCAAAGGTAGCGCTCCCGAAGGGCTGCTATGAGGAACAGGAGAGAATCGAAGACGTGCTTTCTATGCTATCCAAAAAAGCCATAATAATAATAACAACAATAAGGATAATAAAGGAAATTGGCTGTTCTCCAAGGGATGGGCGAGTGGGAGAGCTAAGGAGGAGAAAACGGGGCAGCGCGAGGCAGGGACAGAGCTACAGGGGGAAGGGGTCCGGCAGGGGGTGGTGACAATGGGACCCTGCCAGGCAGCCGCCTTTCATGGGCGAAGAACGGCAGCGTGCCGTGCAGCGAGGAGGGCTGAGCCCTGCACCGCCATGGATGGATGGAGGAGGAGTGGGTGTGTGCCGGGGGGATGGGGGGAGCAGGGAGCTCTGCCTTCCAGCGGCTTCAAGGCTAAATACCTGATTCCTGCATGTAAACAGCTGGTTTCGGTTTTGTTTTTTTGTTTGTTCGTTTGTTTGTTTGTTTTTTTGAGACGACCTGATTGTGGGAAAAGAAGAGGAGTTACCTGCAGAGAGCGGCACTCAGTAGGTAAAGACCAAGTCCGAGATGCTGGACATGAGCCAGTCCCCCGCGATCATCTCCGTCACCTCGGGCGTGCAATAGTCCGGGAATTCGAAGTGCGAGGACGCGCCCCGCGGGAACAGATCGAGGTCCTTGTCCAGGACGGACCAGTCCAGAGCCCCGCACGCTGTGCCACCCGGTGCCCGCGCGGGCAGCACGCCCAGCAGCTCCTCCTCCAGTTCCTCGTCCGAGGAACCCAAGGAGGACGGAGGCGAACCGGCGGGTGCGGGAGACGGGGACGCGCTCTCCGGGCGCGGCTCGGGGCTGGTGGCGGCCGCGGGGCTGCGCTCGCCGGTGGGCACCGCGTTCCACGTGGCCGTACCGGGGCGGTCCTCGACGGGCGGCTCCGGCGGGCGCTGCGCGATGCCCGGCTCGGGGGGCGGCTTGGAGGGCTGCCTGCGGGCGGCGGGGACGCGGCCCAGCACCGAGGGTTTGATCTTCACCGGGAGGCGCGGGCGGGCGGTGGCGGTGCCCACTTTGCCCTTTTTCCGAGGGCGGTATTTGTAGTCGGGGTAATCGGCCATGTGCTTGAGGCGCAGGCGCTCGGCCTCCTTCACAAAGGGGATCTTCTCGGAGTCGTGCAGGAGCTGCCAGCGCCGACCCAGGCGCTTGGAGATCTCGGCGTTGTGCATGTCGGGCCACTGGTCCATGATCTTGCGGCGCTCGTGCTGCGACCACACCATGAAGGCGTTCATGGGCCGCTTGATGTGACCGCTGGGCGTTTTGCACCAGGCGGGTTCCGCGTCGTGGGCGGGCAGAGGAGCGCAGGGCTCCCGCCGCCCCTCCGAGCCCCTTCCCCGCATGGCTCGCTGCACCATGTCGGCCCCCCCGTTGCCCCCCTTACCGCCGCCTCTCCCTCCCCGCCGGCCGCTACGCGCCGCGCCGCGCCGCCCCCATTGTGCGGAACGGGCGGCGGCGGCGGGGCGGGGCGCGGGGGGCCGCGGAGGGACCCGGGGGGGCACGGCTCCGCCGGGGCGGTGGCTGCGGGGCGGCTCCGGTGGGACCTCGGGATGCGGCGGCTCGGGGATGCGCTGCAGCGCTCTGGGGATGCTCTGGGTCCGGGGATGCTCTAGGGATGCTCTGGGTCCGGGGATGCTCTGGGTCGGATCGGGTCCGCTCCGCACCGCCCCGGGGATGCGATCGGTTCGGGGATGCGCTCGGTCCGGGCGGGTTGCGGGTCCGGGGCGGTGCGGGCAGCCTTGTAGCCGCACGCCCCTTTCGCCCCCCGGTACGGCTCTTATAGCATCGGCAGCCGCCGCCGCCGCCCCGCCCCGCCCCCGGTAAACACGGCCGCGCCGGTTCTGTCAATGGGAGGCGCCGCCCCTCCCGGCCCATTGGGCGCGGGGCGGGGGGGAATTTCCCCCGCTGCCAATGGGCGACCACCGGAGCAGGGTTGCTGGAGAGAACGGCACCGAGGCGCGCCCGTTACCCGCACCCGGGGGGGGGGGGGGGGAGGCGCTCCCCAGCGACCTCCCAGCGCGAGCATCGCTGTGCCCACGGTTCACCCCACAGCTTCCAGCACCGGGATCCCGCTTCCCTCCCGGGATCTCCAGCCCCCCTCCCGTGCCCCCTCCCCGCTCACCCCCGTACTCCGTAGACACGTGGGATGATTCAGGTTGGAAATTTTAAGGTCCCCAAGACCAACACCAGCCCACCACACCTCAGTGCCACACCTCCACCGTTCTTGAACGCCCCAGGGACGATGACGCTCCCCGTGCCTGTGCCACGAAACCGCTTTTCTGCCGATGGAAACCCTGCATGCAGCACAGCACCTCGCCACGAAGCAAACGTCGGTCCCCCCTCGGTGCCCTCGGTGCTGCTCCGAGCACAGCAGCGCTTTCCTCCCGACCCGAACTCTCCAACCCCGCGACCCCTGGCGTCGTTCCGCCGCCGCGCTTGCATCCCTCCATCACTTGGACAGGTCCGTCCCCGCGGAGCCGAACGCGCAACACCGCAACGCGGCGATTCGGGGATCACCCAACCACGAGCACAATCCGTAACCCCGTCCGTACGCTGTGTGTACGGACCACATTCGCATCCCCGGGACTCTACTCCGTAATTTATTTCTCCCTCCCGCCCGCAGCCCCGCATCCCTCACTCCCGTCCCGTCGCGGCTCCGCGCCGTTCCCCCGCTGCCGCCCGCCCCGCTCGGCGCCAATGGCGGAGCGCAGCCGCGCTGTTGCCCCGGAGACCGCGGGCTGCCCGGAGGGGGCGGCTCCCATTGGCTGAGGCCTCAGGGCGCGCTCCCATTGGCTGCCCGCCGCCGGTTGCCGTGGCGACAGAAGAACGAGCGCGGCCCGAGGCGGCACCGCGCCGGGTCCGTGATCCGCAACTGGACGGCGGTGCGACACGTGCGGCTGCGGGGATGGATGCGAAGGGCCCGAGAGCCGTGGTGGAGCTGAAGGGAAGAGTAAGTGCTGAGCTCCCGAGGGGTCTGTGGGGTTTGGAGCGCTGTGGCTGCGACCGGTCAGACGGGTGGTGGTGAAGGGAGCTGAGGGGACCTGGGGAGGAGGGCAGAGAGAAGGGCCTGACCGAGGCCGGGCCTTGAAGGCCTTTGTGACTCCTAATCCGTTGTGTGTGTGGCGTTATGTTGAGTTCAGGTTGGCAGCACGTGGCAGAAGGCAACAGCAGAGAGGAAACTTCCAGCCCACGAGTTGGCTTTGCCACCAATCACCGACGGAGGCAAGAAGAAAGGGCAGAAGAACAAGGCAGGTTGGGAGAGATTTCCCTTTATCCACCGCCTTTCTGTCACTGCCACCCCCCGGTGCCAAGTTTGCATTCACTCAGTGCTTTCTGCTGGGAGACATTCGGCAAAAGGCACAAAAAGCAGCTGAGGGTAAAGAGGGGGGAGTGGAAAAGAGCAGGAAAGGCTCTGTAGGCTTTGCTGCTGGGCTGAGTGTGAGCTGCTCCTGCTGGGCCTGCAGGAGGTTTGAAATCAGCCTTTCAGCTGATCTTATTTCCCTCAGCCCCACGTGACAGGAGGGGGTGGGTGTGAGGTGTGTAAACACATCCGGGGCTTTTTGGTTGTTTCAGCAGCAGTGTTTGTGTCGAGGAAAACAGCCCCCTTGGTGTTGAAGACCTCTTCCCAAGAGAAGCACGGAGCATTCACTGAGAGGAAATGGGTGCTCAAGGAGGCTGAGTTAGCTGGAGTGTTGGAAGAGATGAAAATGACCACGGTACGTGTAAAAAATACCCAGGGCTGGAATGTGGGGAGCCAATCCATGCAGTTACCCAGGTTGCATTTATGGAGGAAATTCTAGCAGCCTGACTCACTGTGGCAAAATGGCACATATTCATTTATTAATACACTGGAGGTAATTATGCTGCTCTGCTTGATGCTGCTGTAATCTAACCTTGATGTTTGTTAAGGAAAACTGAAGATAGACCCAGAGAGCCCAGGCTACAGCAGTGGAAGGGATGAGGTTTAGGAAATGTGACCTGTTAGAAAAGATTGACGGTGCCAAAATTTCTCAGTCTAGCAAAGGGAAGATTGAGGTGGAGTTTTTTAGTAGGTTAAGGGTGGTTATTGATCATCACAAAGCAGGTAGGAAGCAATGTGGAAGCAGGACTGGGATGGGTGGGAGAAGTCAGTGCCTTGGCAATGGGGTGAGGCTTGCTGCATGATGCCCAGCTGGTCAGGGCCTTGCATGGGATAGGAGTGTCCTGGGGGTGACAGGTAATAGTGAGCAAACTTGGGGCAGGTGGCACCGATGGAATCTGCCATCCATTAATCCACAAACTCCTGTAGCACCTGACCAAGCTGAAGACAAAAGCCATAGAGGAGCTGAAGCAGTGCGGTGACCACCTGGCAAAGACCAACTTCTGGCTGATGAAGGACATCCAGCACACTGACGATAGCACTGCCAAGCAAGCCAGAGACTTGCTGCATCAGTTTGAAGTGTATCAGGTGAGGTTTTAGAGCTGGCCAACAGCCCTCGTTCAGCAGAACATGAAATGTGCCACTGCTCCTGTTAGCAGTGAACAATGGCCAGGCTCTGCATGGTCAGTTCCACTGACTGGAGCATCCCCAGAGCTAGGGGAGCTCTCTGATGCCCAACGATTCTGTGAGATGCTCTTGTTTTGTGCCTGTGTTTTAAAGCCACAGAGCTTCCTGATGGGTTACTGTCCCAAGCAAGAGTAGTCAGCCCTCTAACAGCCCAAATACATCCTTCTGTGGGGGAAGGTGGTTCCTGGGAGCCCCAGGACAATCCCCAGTGCAGGTCCACAAGCTGGCACTAACCACAGTGGCAGATTCATCTGTGCTGCTAGAATAAACAATAGCATGAGAGGAACGTTAGGGATGCTGCATGGGGACATTTCATAGTTCTGGGGGAAGATCAGTGTCTGGATTTCTCTGCAGATGATCGAGGCAATGACACAGACCATCAGTCAGAACCAGCTGGATATGGCAAGGGCAGAGCTCCAGGAAATGGAAAAAACAATGGAAAAGAATCTGGGAAGTGAGTTGCTCTCATTACTATGAAATATGGTTTATGTAAACGTGTTACCTTCGCTTTCCATCTTGTTAGGGCCTAAGACACTGCACTGATGTTATGAATGTCAGACGGTTCACTTCCTGAAAATGGATCTTGCAGTTGTTGTGTGGGGGTAATGTTCCTGTCAGGAGGGGCAGAGCTCTGTGGCACCCATCAGCCCGTGTGAAAGGGGGTGGGGAGGCTCACCTCCTTGGCAGCTGTTTGCACCATTCCACTGGGGCAGGATCTGGTCGAGGTGGTCTGATTTGGAGTGGCCATTCATTCCCTGTGCCCGCATAGCATGCGATCTCCCTCATCCAGATTACTTCCCACACAGTGTATCATCTGGCTCAGGTGTATGCAGGACAGCCTCTGGAACCCCTGAAATGACATTCTCTGCTTTGACTTCCAATTAGAGCTACAGCAGCAAGTGGATGAAGTCACATCGAAAGTACAGGTTCTCCAGGATGAGCTCAGCATCCTTCGGACCTACACAGAGGTGCATTATCTAAACCAAGCTATGCAGATAGTCCTCCTGCTGTCCGACATCCAAAACCTGAAGAAGCAACAGCAGGTGCTGTGTTGTAACCTAATACAACAGTGCTGAGACCTCTCCTCCCCTGCAGCATCACTAGGGAGGCAGGAGAGGGCAGGGGTGGAAGGAATGCAATGCTTGCCTTAATGAATGCTCTTGTTGTTTCTGTGCACTGCCTCCTGCCGCTCTCAGGACGAGATAGATGAGACAGAAAAAATGGGAAAGGCCATTCTGGAGGAACTGGAAGAAAAAACACAGCTGGAACAAGAAGAGATATTACAGAAAGTTGCAGAGGTTTGTGGAATGTCTTGGCGGAGGGGATCAGTGTGTGGGAGCTGTGAGACGAGTCAGGGGTTCCTAGATGTTGCCCATCAGCAGTAGCACGTTAGCTGGCACACAAAGAACAACAGAGCATTGCTGCTCTGCTCCAAACTGGAGCTGTCTGTCGGCTGGGAGTGTCCATGACAAGCCACTCTAATGTGATGAAATACTCTCAGGCTTGTTCCTGAGAGTTTGCCATGTGATCCAACGTTCACCCTGCTTTATTACATTACTCAGCAGCTGCCTGGCTGCTTGGTGGGGACACTGCTGAGGAAACTCACCTCAGAGCAGAAAGAGCTCCTTTCGTACAGTTTCTGCTTGCATGGTATGCTTAGCACTTTTTCTGGGTTAGCTGCTTGAGAGCACTGAGAAAATATCAATCACTGAGTCTTTTTTCAGCTTGCTCTGATGCAGGACTGCTGTCTGCTTTTACAGGTGAATTTGTAAGCACAGATGATACAAGTAACCCAAGCAGCATTAATAAGCTTTCCCTGGGAAGCTGAACCAGATTTGCACAGTCTTGTTCTATGGTCATCCCAATGGGATTTCTTTGTAGACCTGGGACCAAAACCTTATTCAAGCAGGAATTTTCTTGAAGAATAATGCATCTAAATGTGGCCAGCTTTGGCATCTGACCGTGGCAGGGTCTCATGCTGTAGTTAGTGTTGAGTTTCTTCTCTTCACCCACGCAGGAGGTGTTGCTGCACCAGGATGGGCTGAAGCAGATGGTCATCAACAATCATGTTCTTCGACATGAAATAAGAAGACAAAAAGAGGTGAGTGGATTGGGGCAGAGCCAGCCACCCTCAGCCCTGGCCCTTTAGGAGGGTTTTGTGTGCCCGGCTGGGCTCTGTTGCTTTCTGCTTCCACTGGAGGCAGTGGGCTGCTAGACTTCCTGCATTGCCTGCTGGGCTGCTCACCATCAGGATGTCCTCTTAGGGAACTCGCTTGCATGAGGGATGTTTTCTAGCTCTGCTGTTCATAAAATCTCTAGAACTTTAATTACTGCTTCTATTGTAAAATAAAGAACTCTTAGAAATGTCATCCATTCAGATTATTAAAGACCTGGAAGAGGAGATCAGCAAGCTGAAGAGAAGCGTCCAGACGCTCCGCCAGAGTGCAGGAGACCCAAGAGAGACGATCTTTGCTGATGTTTTTCTCCACAGACCAAAGTAAGCCAGTGAATTCCCAGAGAAGAAAGGCTGGTCGATGGGCAGGCACGTGCCTTTCTCTGTGGCCTTGGGTAGGAAGAGTCTTTGTGCAACTGCCACGGATCACAGACTGCCACTGTCAAACCTACACGCAGTCTGGGATATAAACTCACAGCTTACTGTGGTCCTGCTGGGACAGATTGCTGCCAGGTCTCATAGCTTGCCTAATAGCAGCTAGGAAGCAGCCAAAATAACAGCAGTGTGCTGTCAGCTTTGGTCACTTCTCATCTCACTTCTAGGCTTAATTTTGTCCATCCTGTAAGTGGTGATAATTATTGACTGCAGGAACAGGCAAGGGGAAGCAGCAGAGCTTTTCAAGGCCCTCGTGACCACATCGATTCTTACTTTATTGTTCTTTTCTCTCTGTATTTGGGAAGCAAAACTAAAGGGATGTGGCCAAGCTCCTGCGGAGGGCAGGACTTACCCATCTCAAGCCACTTTGCTGGTTGTGTGAAATGGCACGAGCAGTCTGGGGGAACAAAGATGGGCAGCCATTTCCATAACATGTATTAAAAAAAAGTCTGAGGCATTCATTGGCAGCAAAAAGGCAACACTTTGTTGTCTTTCCCAGCGCTCTTTCCCTGCCCTCGTTCATTGGTGGCTGATTACTTGCAGAACGGAGGCTGTGGTTGATCTCCACTCCCTCCTACCAGGGTGCACAGTGTTTATGCTGGATATTAAAGTTATGAAGGGCAAGGAGAATCCTTGCTGTTTGTTGACAGGGAGAAAGCTCTGCCAGATGGCTCACGGGACCGTGGGGCTATCCTCTCCAGGGCCAAGGGACAGGCTGGCCAAGTCTGTAGGCTGAGGTATACCAGCAGCCTGCTGTGACAAGTTATTTTCCACCACAGCCATGGTGGGAGCCCATCCCAGCAGACAGCAAGCTGGAGGCCTGATGCTGCACCTTGTCCCACAGTGCTGGGGTCCTGCCCAGAGCACAGGTGATTTAGAGCAGCTGAGTGCCTCAGCTTTCTATGTTGTCAGGGTTCTAAACTTGACCAAAAATTGGTCAAATACGTTTAAACCTTGACTGTGACATAGCCTGAAACCTGCAGCTGTGTGCAGTACTTGGTGCATGCCTGTGTCTATTTGCAGCAGCTGCACACGTTGCTCACAGCGCAGAGATACCTGTTAAGGGAGGCTTTCCTCTCCAGTGGGGCTGGACCTCCCGTGTTGGGTTCTAACAGTAAGCCAGGTACGGCTGCAGAGGCGTGATGTGAAGCAGGAGGAAAGCCTGGAACGTGTCAGGAGGCTGTGGGAGAGGCGAGTGGCTGCATGATGGATCAGTGCAACTTCCATTTGTTTTGTTTTGTTTTTTTTTTTTCCGATAAAACAATGATTTAAACAAAAAAGAAAAGGAATTTGTTAGGCTGGTGGGGCTGGGGTTACTGAGGGTGGCTGGGAGAAAAGTTAAAAATAGCAGGAAGGCCCAAGTGGAAAGTTTGTGTAATATCACAAGTCAGGCATTCGGTGCTTACCCGCCCTGACAGGCAGCGCTCCGTGCCAGAGCCTCTCCGCCATCTCTGCTGATTCCCACTGACCTCCCTGCAACTTTTCACACGACTCCACCAGCCCTCCGTGTTTCCAATTAACCCTTTGGTTCCAGGCTTTGCTTCTTGAAAGAGTAAAACCGGGCGTAAGCTGCGCTTAGCCTGGAGGTGCAAAGGCACCCAGCGATGCGGGACTGTTGCTGGCTCTCCTTGGGTTCCCTGCGTGCTGCTGGCAGCACCTGCGAAGCCCCGAGGAGCTGTAAGCCCCCATATACCCACTCGTGTCTGCATTTCAGTCTTCTTCCTTTAAAAACCCCCATCCTTCAAGGGAGCCCAGGTGGGTTTTGCTAGCAGCTTGGAGTCCTGCATTGGAGGCACTCTTGGCACAGTTTGTCCTGGCCTGATGCACAGACAGATGTGCACACCTCTGAGCAAGCCCAGCTTGCTGTGTTTGTCCTTTCCGTGTGAGAAAGCAGATGTAACCGGCTGCTCTGATGTGCTTTCTCTGCTTTTGTTTGTCTTTTGGGATTGATGGAGGGGCAGCTGATTTTGTTCTCCCTCGGAGCCCCTCAGCCTGGATAGGGTTTGCTGGGCAGTAGTGCTGCGCTCTGCTTCATGCTGAGCGAGGGCTGTGCCCCAGAACCCCACCTCTGCTTTTATAGGGCTTTTGTCCACTGCTCCCTCAGCACAGCTGCCTTTCCTGCTCTTTCCTTTGTCCCTCGTACCTCCTCTCTCTGCTCAGGTGCACACCAGACACCGAGGTGGTTCTCCGTATCCCCACTGAGAAGACTCCGCTCCCCTGGTGCCCGCAGCGCTCAGGTGAGATGCCGACCAACGCAGCCCTCGCTTCCCCAGCAGCACTCCTTCCTCCCGGCCCCACTCAGCCTCTGTGAGGACTCACTTATAAGCGGCAGGAGGGTGTCTCGTGATACAGCCGTGCCAGAAGCACGATGTAAGCCCCCTGATATCGGCCCTTTGTGCCACCTGACCTCACACCAGCGGCATCACCTGCCCCCAGAGAGGCTGCAGCCAAAGGCAAACCAGGACTCTCCGCTGCGATGCCCCAGTGGTCTCCCAGTGCCGGCCCCGACGCCCCGAGGTGAGCACATCCCACTGCGGACCGGCCTGCCGTCCCAGACCGGAGCCTCTGTGGGACAGAGCACGCACACAGGTTCAAATAAAAACAGCCCTATTCAAAACGCTCCTCCGCCCCGCGCTGTCCGTTACCGGCTCTGGAGCCGGCGCTGCCAAACAGGGGCATCGCAGCCCCGCCGATCTCAGCCCCGCCGCGCCTCCGGGCAGCACCGGCTCGGCTCGGCTCGGCACGGCTCGCTCCTTACTTGGCGAAGCGGCGAAGCCGCGCTCTGTCCCGGCGCGCCGTGGAGCCGGGCGGGGGGCGCGGGGGTCCGACCCTACGCGGGACGGGAGCCCGGCTGAAGCCCCCGAGCCGCCCCAGCGCTGCTTCAGCGACGGCACCCCGGGACGGGACTGGAGCGGGCTCCCGAGGAGCCCTGGGGGCGGAAGAGCCCGGGGGGAGAATCTTGCCGGGCCCCGGTACTGGGGGCACCGGGAGCCCCGCGGGAGCCTCGGGGACCGGATGGAGCCCCGGGGGTGCGCGGAGCCGGGCGGCGGGGACCGCTGCGGGCGGGCGGGGGGGGAGGATCGGGCAGCGGCGGGGGAGGGACGGGCAGCGGCGGGGGGCTCCACCTCCCGGGCTTTAAAGCGTCGCAGCTCCGGGGCTGGGCGGCGGACATCAGCCCGGCCCGGGGAAAGTTTCAGCCGCTCGGAACGGGACCGGTGGGGCCGCGCTCCTGGCCTCGGGGCTGCACGACCGCGGGGCTGCAAGGAACCGCGCCCCATCGGGGCAGCCTCTCCGAGCCCCGCTGCCAGCCGAGCCCCAGATGACCCTGAACACGCAGCCCGGGAACAAGAGCCCGCTGCGGAGGAGGGCCAGCACCCCTCTGCCGCGGGTCCCGGGTGCCGCGCCGCGGGCTGAGCTCGGCCATCCCCAGCTCGGGCAGTCCTCGTCCGAACCTGGTGCCAGAGCCGCAGCACCGCGGGGCAGTTGGTCCTCCGAGTCCTCGGCCTCCTCCAGCTCCTGGGAACATCGCGTGGTGCTGCTGGGAGACCCCGGCGTGGGCAAGACCAGCCTGGCCAATGCCTTTGCTGGCATCCAGGAGCGGGACCTGCTGGAGCAGCACGGAGGTGGGTGCTGCGTGGGGTGCAGGGGCTTTCTGAGCAGTGTCACCCCCTGTGGGGCCGGGAGGAGGTAGCGGGGTGTGTTCAGGTGCAGCACGCACCTCGTGCTTGGACAAGGTCATAAGCAATGCAGTTGGGGTGAGAGGACCACCGGTGGGTCTCGGCTGCACCAACCGAGCTCTCCTGGTGTCTTGCAGAAGCTGCCTACGAACGCACACTGTTGGTGGATGGCGAGGAGACCACGCTGCTGGTGTTGGACACCTGGGAGCCAGAACGGAGGGTACATGGGGCTGTGAACCTGGGATGGGTGCTGCATGAGCCCCAGCTGCTGGCAGGGCTGGGGGTGCCGAGGAGTGAATGCTGAGGTCAGACCTCTGGCCTGGGGGAGCCTCTCCAACATTCTTTGCTTGTTGTGCTGAAGTCTGAGAGGTGTGTGTCCTCAGCCTCTCTGATGGGGCTCCCACAGCAAGGCCCTGTCAGTGCAGGAGCAGCCTTGCATGGCAGGAGCTGTGTGGGTGTCCCTCAGCCCATGTTGATGTCCCTTGCAAAAGGGGACAAAGGGGCTGCAGGACAGAGCATAATGTGAGCTAATGGTTTGGGAGTGGGTCTAAAAGGAGCAAATCCACGTGAGGCAGTGCTGGCAGCCAGGGCACGTGCTCTCAGCAGAGCTGTGGCCCCAAGAGCTTGGCATGGGGCACTCCCTCTGCCCCATGCAGTGAAGGCTTCTTTCTGCCAGAAATCCCAGTGCAGCATCGCCGCCTCCCTCTCCCTGTTCTGCCTTCCCCCATGGCTGTGCTGGGGTTCCACGACTGTCACGATGGGTCCCTGGGAATAAGGATGGAGCTGGCACCCAGGCTGCACGTAGGCACAGCAGCACTATAGGCTGGGGCTGCATTTTGTGCAAATGCCCGTGCTGTCCAGATGTGCTGCAGCACTGCATTGCCCTGAGAACAGCCCTTTCTTTCCACCGTTGCTTAATCCCACTTTGCCCAGCTGGAAGCATTGCGTGGCTCACAATGCTGTGCCCACCATGCTGGCATTGTGTGGCTAAAAGCAGCTTTGGGAGTGGCTCTGTCCCCAAGCTGAGCCCTAATTTGTTGCTGATAGAGGAAGGAAATGAAATGTGCCCCAGAACCAGGAGCTGTGTTTTACTGATGGAGCCGTGCACGTGCTGCCCACAGTGCGGGTGCTGCTGGGGCACACAGGCAGATCCCCGGCACCATGCCTGGTCAAAGCCAGGAGGATGGGGATGCCACCAGCCCTTGCAGTGCAGTGATGTGACATTTCCCATGTGCTGGCAGGGCGAGGAGAGCTGGCGCCGCAGCCAGTGCCTGCAGGTGGGCAATGCCTACGTCATCGTCTACTCCATCACGGACCGCAGCAGCTTTGAGAGCGCCTCGGAGCTGCGTATCCACCTGCGCCGCGCGCGGCAGGCTGAGGACATCCCCATCATCCTAGTGGGGAACAAATCCGACCTGGTGCGCTGCCGCGAGGTCTCCATCGAAGGTGAGCATGTCCGTGTCTGTCCCCATGTCCCGCGCTATGGCTCCTGCTACATCCCTCAGTACAGAGGGTGCCAGCGGGGCCATACCCCTCCCTACCCCCCCTTGCAGAGGGCCGTGCCTGTGCCGTGGTTTTTGACTGCAAGTTCATCGAGACGTCGGCAGCCCTGCAGCACAACGTGGATGAGCTCTTTGAGGGGGTGGTGCGGCAGCTGCGCCTGCGCCGTGAGGGCAAAGAGCCTGCGTCCAGCCACCGGCGCAAGGAGAGCCTCACCAAGAGGGCCCGGCGCTTCCTCGACAGGCTGGTGACCAGGAACAGCAGCAAGGTAGCCCTCAAAGCCCGCTCCAAGTCGTGCCACGACCTGTCCGTGCTCTGAGAGCTGCCACGAGCCCATCCCACTGGACTTGGAGGCTGGGGACTGCCCTTGCCATCAGCGTGGCCAGCAGCAGCGTGGTGCCAGCTAAGCACACATGGGGCCGGTGCGATTCTGAGGACGTGGAGCTGCTGAGGGACACCCAGGGTACTCTAGGTCTAGCTGCTTCTCCTCTGGAAGGGGGGATGAATGGGGCTGGGTCCTCTCAGCTGCATGTGGGGTGGGTAACAGGGTGGCTGCCCAGCTCCTGGGGGGCTGGAGGTGAGGCTGCGGCCCTGCAGGGCTGCCAGCAGTGAGGCTGGTGCTGCTCGTGGCTCCCATCCTTCACAGGGCAGCGGAGAGCAGTGAATGCCCACCTCAAGGACAGGAGCCTGGCAGGGAGAGGGGCTGGGGGAGCTCTGGCAACATCATCTGGTACCCCCAGCCCCTCCATGCCAGAGCTTCATGCCATGTCTCCCTGGAACCTGTGTTGCCTGAGGTTTTTCTGCTGTCTCTGTACCAGTACAGTGGGGAAACCCCTCGATCTGCAGAATAAACCACGTCTGGGACATGTTGGTCTCTGCCATGGGGAGCCAAGTGCCTTGGCTGGGGCAGAGGTTCCGCTGCAGCCAGACTGCATGAGCTTCAGCTTCATCAGCCTGAACACCCCAGAGCAGGAGCAGCCTTAGCCTCTGGCCACGTTTCTTTAGCCACCCTGTGCTGAAGCATCAATTCCTTACCCAGCAGTCACAGCATCATCCCCTGCAATGGCAGAAGCCCTCGGCACCTCTTTCTTCCCAGCAAGTCCTCAGAGAAGGGCTCGGCACCAACTCCAGTTGCTATGGTGCAGATTTAAAGCCTCCGTGCAGGATTTGGGAGCCCCTTGGGAGACCCAGCCTAGGCCAGGAGCCAGTCCCTGGGTGCCCTGGGAAGGGGCAGCGGCAACAGGAAAGGACGTGCCAGGCTGCAGTGAGCAGCAAGTGACCCCAAGCACACAGGAAGGTGACACTGGGGCTGCATGGGCTCTGTCTGTTGTTTTTAGGCTGCACTGTCGGCGAGTGGCTGGGATGTGGCAGGGGAGCCTGCTCAGCAGGCCTGGGCCCCGTGCCAGGGAGGCTCCACAGTGCCCTCCTGCCCTGCACAGGTCAGGAGTTTCCATTTGCTCTGCATCCCAAGCATGGGGAGCCACCAGCAGCCAGCATCATGTAGCCAAGAAGGGCCCAAGGGGATGTTTTCCCATCTCTGTTGAAAGCTGGGCTCTCCTGCATCCCTTGGCACTCCCGAACCTGTCAGTGTTTGCAGTGTTGCTGCTCTCTCCTTGCTGATGCTTTGGCTCCGGGTGCTGCTCTGTGCCCCAGTTCCTGATGCTGCTGGATATGATGCTGCAAGTCTGTCCTGCAGCTGTGGCCAATGCTTCCCTGTGGCGGGAGGCGGGGAAGGGGGGGGGGGGGGGAAACGGGATGGAAAGTTGGCAGCCAGCAGCGAGGGGAGTGGAAAGAATGAGCTCAAACCCAGAAAAATGCGGCCGTGCTGGAGGGTGGGAGGAGAGGCTGGGGGGGCTGCAGCAAGGCACTGGGAAAGGGAAGGATAGAGGGAGGAGGTGCTGCTGGGGGACAGAGGCTGCCTGTGGCCCCCAGCTGGGGTCTCACCTGGGCCAGTATAGCCAGGGCTTGGCAGCACTAAGAAGTGCTCTTGGGATTGCCATATCCCAGCGCCATCCATCCCTGCACAGCCACTGTCCCCACTCGGAGAGGGCCGAGTTAAGGCCGGCTCACCGCTCTGCAGCGCATCTTCTCATGAGGAGCAGCCAAGAAAAGCACAGGGGAGGAGGGCGGCCATTTCCCTGCACCACACAGCAGGTCCTGCCCTCAGGCCCCACTGGGAAGTCCCTCCGCTTTCCCAGCCAGAGCTGCAGGAAAGACCCATGGCCACTGGCTGGGGAGCAGTCCCTTGGACGGACCCCACTATAGCTCTGAGACCCCGGCCCAGTGCCAGAGCAAGGGCACCCAGCGGGGAGCTGGGGATCCTCAGTGGAACCTCAGAGCCGCTGGCCGCTTTGGAGAAGGGCTGTAAAGGTCTTTTGAAGGTTTTTTTGATAAAAGACTCAGCAGCAGAATACGCAAGAGTGTTAGCATTTCTGCTGCTATTTTGGGTGCTGGTCTAACAGCACGTGCTGGAAGGACAGGAGTGGATTGCAACCCTGTGGCCTTCGTTCTGGGCTCTCCGCACGCTTGCAACCTGCCCTGAGAGCACAAGCAGAGGTTTTCCTGCAAAAAGAAACATGCAGAAGGTTTGGCAGCCTGCTCACAGGGCACAGGTCTGTGAGAAACAAGACCCAGAGAAACACCAGTGCATGTTGGCACTGATCTGGGGGTGAGTGGACACCCAGAGACATCATTCTAGGCTGGGTTATGGTCACCTAGAATCTGGCTGTCCTCGCTGCGCCGTGTCATAGGATGGGATGCTGCACACTGCCTGTCCCTTTTCTTTGTGGGAGAACTGGTGACACCATAAGGACAGTGTCCAGGCAGGAGACCAGCCCCAGAGAAAGGCACATCAGCATTCCTGTGAGGGCTTTTCATCCACCCTCTGCCTGGAATACGAAACTATCAATCACCCCAGGTCCTGAAATAGATTTATTTTTAAAAGAAGTGAAAAATATTGGGGAAAAAAAAATAAGTAATGTAACACAGGCCTTTTTGTCCCTGCTGTGCTCTGCTCCCCACCCATGGTTCGGCTCTGGGCCAGTTCCCAAAGCCAGTGGAGATGCTGTGATCCTCACTGCAACCTGTGAACCCCAAACCAGACCCTGGGGAGGGGATGTGGTGGGACCACAGTGGCATCATAGAGGCTGGGATACACCGCAGGTTCAGGAGGCTGATTTCACCCCGTAACAATGTGAAGTGCTGGTTTACGCTGGGTGAATCCTTCTTTTCCACAACAGGACAGAAGAGATTTCCCTGCTGGCAGCAGAGGATCTCGTCCTGCTGAAAGGCAGGGGCAGCTCCTGCTGACCTGTGCTGAATTTCGACTCTTCTTTTTGGGCTTTGCTGCTAGATGGAAAGAATGCAGAAAAATCCATTTTTACCAGGCCTGTGCCTCAGATCAAGCAACTGCCAAACCAGGGCTGTGGTGATGAATGTGGGCAGCGCCAGGGACTGTGGGACATCCGAGCCATGGAGAGGAGAACAGGGTGGCACTGAGGAGGAGGAGGTGGCTTGGTGACATGGCCAGGATGCCAGCAGCTCAGAGGAAGGGAATATTCACAAGGAAAACATGCATTTTGGCCAGTTTTCCATCAGAGCTCTGGCCTTCGTCCAGCAGCACAGGAAGTTTGCTTTCACTGACAAGGCATTTCTGTAAGAGAGGTTTTTGCTGAGCGCAGTTACAGGTGGGCTGAAGGGTGTGCAGGGGACAGTGCAGCAGGGCAGAGCACACAACCAGCCCGGCGCTGGAGGAGAAGCTCAGGACTCCCAGACCTGGTTCACACGTGGTACGGGCTCGGCTCTGTCCTGCATCCCATCCTCTGTCTCCCTTCAAAAAATGCTGTCCATACTTAGGCAGCCGCCGCCGTGTTCCCCTCTCAGGCAGAATGTCAGCACAGATCCTCGCAGTGGGGTAAACATGTCCGAGCTGACACAGCGCAGTGTCCCAGCACTGCAATCCGTCAGCAGGACCAACCTCGTGCCACGGCATCGGCAGCCATCGGGCATCCCGAGTTGGAAGGGATCCGATCGAAATCTTCCATCCCGCCAACCTCATGGCGATCCGCTCCTCCTGCCGGGAGGGCACTGGGATCCCCCGGACCCCGCAGCACAAAACCATTCCCCCTTCCTCTCCATCCCTTCGGCCCGCAGCGCCCTCTTTCACAGCCTCCCACCCAGGAGGCAAACCCTCTGCCTGCACACCCCACGCTGCACCGCAGCCCCCGCCGTGCCGCCCCGCGCCCTCCCAAGGGACAGCACTGGGGGACACAGCGCGACGTCTCTGAGGAGAGGGGGGGGTTTTGGCTTTCAGCGGTGGGATCCGGGCTCGGAGTCAGGCCGGACGGTGGAAGGCGGGGCTTGGGGGGGGGTTGAGGAGGCAGCAGAATAGCCGGGCCCGGCCCCGTGGGCAGCAAAGCGAGCGCAGCGCCGCGCTCAGGCCTTGGCCCGGGCCGTAGGGAGGTGCAGCGCTCGGTCTCCTAGCAACGCGCCCCCTGTTGCCGGGCGCTGACGCGGCGCCGTGTGACGCACTTCCGGTCGGTAGGGGGGACGTGTCCCTGGCGCGCGGCGGGAGCAGGCGCCATGGCGGAGGCGCAGAACGGCAGCGCCGGGCCTCAGGCCGTGCCCGCCGCCGGCGCCCGGCCTCCCGCCACTCCCGAGGGCATCGCCCTGGCTTACGGCAGCCTCGTCCTCATGGCGCTGCTGCCCATCTTCTTCGGGGCTCTGCGCTCCGTCAGCTGCGCCAAGAGCAAGGTACCCCGGGCCTCCCGCCCCCGGCAGCGCGGCTCCCGCACGGCCGAGCGCCCCGCTCCGGCTTTACGGGACCTCGGAGCTCCCTGGGCGCTCGGCCGTCCCCGCTCCGCCTCGCTTGGAAACCCCCGCTGCTCCCCGCCGTACTACCTGGCTCCGGGCGGGCCCGGGTTCGTGTCCCAGCCCGGCTGCTGGGAGATGCGCGCGGGCCTCTCCGAGCTGTTGTTTTGAATCCCCGTTTCTGCCGCCGTGCCTCCGTTTAATGGTGTCAGCTGTTCTTACGGTCCGGGTGCCGGAGCTGCGTGCAGCAGGTCTGCGGCAGGGAATGGCTGTGGTGTTGTGGGGGTTTCTCTTCCTGCACACCGCGGGGAGCCGTGTCCCCTTGGGCAGCGGCTGTGCCTTGGCCACACTGCTGTTCTCTCGCAGTCGCTTTGCGCAGCGGCTCCTGCCAATGTACGCTTTAGGAAGTGACGGACTGGGGTGTTTGCTGCCCGAGATTCCAGCCCTGAGCACCGAGAGCGCAGCCCCTGTGCCTCCTGTGGTGGGAAAAGAGCTGGGCAGGCAATTGTCCTGCCCGGTGCTGGGGGTCTGCTTTGGGAAGTGGCTCAGAGGGGGTTTGGCTGTGTTGATGCACAGCTGTTTGGGGAACGAAGCGGTTTGAGGAATCTGGGTCTTCTGAACACAAGGGGTGGCTCAGAAGTGAGGTGAGCAATGAGAAGGTGATTGGAAAGAAACGACATTCAGAGGGTGAGCAACATATGGTGTGCACAGATGGGGAGGCTGTGGGAACGGCCAGGCGTGAGCAGCGAGGTGCACAGCGTTGCTCTGAGCAAAAAAGGAGAAACGTCAGTATGGGAGGCAGGGTTTCTGCCTTCTCAGGAGGAAAAGTGCAGTGAATTGTGGCAGCCCTTGGAAAGACAAATGCAGGCAGGTCTGCTTTCTTCCATCTTGGGCTTTGCCTGCGATCCAGTCGCAACCCTGCAGATGACTGGGAGCCAATGGCAGTTGCTGCCATGGAGCCCTGAGAGCCCCTGTCTGTTCAGGTACAAAGCCAGAGCACGGGCCACAAGGTAATCCATTTCTGTCCTCTCTTTCCTTCCCCAGAACTCCTCAGAGATGCCAGAGACCATTACCAGCCGAGATGCTGCTCGTTTTCCCATTGTTGCCAGTTGCACCCTTCTGGGCCTCTACCTCTTCTTTAAAGTAAGTGAGCAAATGGTGTTGATGTGCCATGAACACACTGCCTGCCTCCTCCGTGCTGTGCTTGTTCTCAAGAGTTCTCCCCAGGCTGCATAGCCTTTGGGTAATTCAGAGCTGCTGAGAGTTGAGCTCACCCCTGGGCTCTTTCTGCCTCCTTGGGTGATCTGGAGGTGCACAAACCAAAACTGGAGGGGGCTAAGCACTTCTGAATTGCAAATGCTGCTGTCTGTTGTGTTCCTTGCTGTGCTTCTGAAGATGTCTCAGCTGTGACCCTGGATAATTGCTGGTGAAGATGAGCTCATGAGCGAGCCCATGTGTGTCCAGATGAAGCCTCTTTAGATGTGCGGATCCAAGAAGCTGAGTTAATGAGTTCTTGAGTCACAGAGAAGCAGTCCCAGCAGCAGATGCTTTAGGCCGTATGGAAAAGGTGCCTTGACTTCAAGCACCTCTGGTTCCCTGCTCAGAGCAGCTCCTCCTTTAGGCCAGTGGCAGTAAGGCAGAGCATCCGCCAACCTTCTGCAGATGGTGGGATAATAAAGCAGCCCCCAGATCCACAGTTCTGGCCTTTGCAAGGATCCTCTGTGGGCACCAGGAAAGGACACATTGTAGCATGACACCGTGGAAACCACTGCGTGTGGTTTTTCCGTTTCGTATTTGCATCCTGCTCTAAGCTCTGGTGCTCCAGCATTCTTCCTCCTGTGTGAGCACGTAGGCTTTAGCACGTTCTGAATTAGGGATGTGATCCTGAGGAAAGGCATTGTGTGTGTTGGAGGGCAGGAGATCTAATAATACCCTGCTAAAGTGGGGCAGGGAAGGCAGTGCTGCCCTGGGAGTGGCACGCTGCCTCGCTCTGCTCCAGCTGCACTGTGGGGATGCAGTGGGGAGGCTCTGCCCTCCTTTCTGCAGCACAGGGGTTATTTTTTTTTAACTGAGTGGCTCATAGATGTGTCACAACTCACAGGCCTGTTGCATTTGTTTTGCTCTTTCCAATTTATTTTATATTAGCAATGCAAGAATTTGGGTTATTTCGACTCTTCTTCCTGTTTCCCTGGGGCACGAACGGAGCAGCTGCCAGTTACCACATTAAGCACTTTCTTATGCTTCACGCTGGGAGAATGCAGTTGTAACCTCTCTGTGGTTTTGTCTTGCAGATATTCTCTCAAGAGTACATCAATCTTCTGCTTTCTATGTATTTCTTTGTGCTGGGGATCCTCGCCCTATCCCACACCATCAGGTAGGGTGCAGTCACGAGGCTGCAGGGTGTTGGGCTGATTTGGATGTTCTGGAGCCTTGGTGCTTCGAGGCAGAGCCAAGTCCTGGCTTGCTGCCTGTTTTGGTGGATCTGGACAGCATGAAGGCATGTCTTGAGTGTGCTGTGAGCCCTTCCTAGGGGAGCCAGGTCATCCCAAAGGCTCAGGAGTCCTTCCTGCCTTGAGCTCCTGGTAGTGTGGATCCCTCCAACATCACACCCCAAGGAGCTGCTCTGGCCTGGCACTGTCCTCACTGCTCTGTGGAGGGCAGAGCTCCTCAACACCCCTGTTCTCTTTTCTGGAACAGTTGAAACTGGCAGCTGGATCTTGTGGCACCATCCTTTGTTTGGTGCAAAGTGCTGAAACCTCGTGCTGTTTGAGTAACAGATGCACTAAAATCTGTTTCCTGTTTCCTGAGCTGTGGGACACTGGGGGCTAGATGCTTTCCCTAGAGCAGTTCTGCTGTTCTGCTCAGGCTTCATCGTTGCTCTCAGCTCGGTAGCAGAGCTGTCTTCTAGTGGCATAGTCAGTTCTGGGTGAGCAGACCTGTACAGTGTGTGGGGACTGTTTGTCTCCAGTGTGTGCACACCAAGGATGGGTTCTTGCTTCCTGCACATGATGCTCTGTGTCTCTTTCCTTAGAGAGTCTCTAGGAACAGCCACATGCAGGCAAATCAGACCTCTGGGGAGGATGAGCTCCCCTGCTTGGTGACAAGCTGGGGATTACACTAGATCCCTGACGTGGCAAAAATTGAGACTTCCTTGTCCTGCTGGGAGGCTGACACTTTGTGCTGCAGTGCTGTCTTGCAGAGGTGCAGGCAGGGCCCCGTGTGGGGTTTCTCTAGAACTCTCCTTTTCTCCAACTTTCGTTTCAGCCCCATGATGAACAGATTCTTCCCTGCAAATTTCCCCAACAAACAGTACCAGCTCCTCTTCACCCAGGGCTCCGGGGAGAGCAAGGAAGGTACGCTGGCTTGCCAGTCTGTTTCTGTTTCTTGCTCGCTTGTTTCAACATGCAGCCCTTCAAAACAGCCTCAGAGACTTGCTTCTTGCTCCTTGCTGTGCCTTGTGTGTCCTACTGTAAGCCCTGCCAGCTCTGCACAGACATGTGCTTCATCTTACACTGGCTGGCCCTTTCCCTGTTGATTACCTGTGCCTGGCAGGGAATCCCCAGAAACAGTGTTATAGAGGGGGAGCTGATGTTAAATGCATGCATTTTAAGCTCACTGGATGATGTAGTACTGACTGCAGTGCTGCCTCCACTGATCTGACTCAAGTCTCTGCACTGGTAGGCTGTGATTTGGTAAGTGTCTGCCCTGTAGCTTTACTGGTAAAGGAATACTTCAACTGATACCAGCAGGAGTTAACTGGGTGCAGGAAGAGTGAGCAGATCCACCATAGGAGAGTGTCTGAATCCAATTTCCTTGCTGACAGAAGTATCACAGATGCTGTCCATGTGGCAGAGTCTGACAAGAAGGTCTGGTCTTGCCAGTGCAGGCTGCATGCTCACGTGCAGGTTGGATGTGGTGACTGTGGATGTGGCAGTGTGCAGGAGTCCCCTCTTCTGGGGCTGCAGCACTGCAGTCTGTGTTGGTGCTTGCTGTGAACTTGGCCTTCTCTGCTCTGCACAGGAAGGAGAGCTGGCAGGGCTGCCTCAAGCGTGACTTCTGTGTTTTATTGCAGAAATAGTGAATTATGAATTTGACACCAAGGATCTCGTGTGCCTGGCCCTGAGCAGTGTTGTTGGGGTCTGGTACCTGCTGAGGAAGGTGAGTGGGCCTCAACTGTCCCTGGGGGGTGCTGGGCTAAGACTGGGGTTTGGGATGCAAGACCATGGCTCTGCATGTGCTGTGGAACCCAGATCTCCTTTTCTGTTGTTTTCAGCACTGGATTGCCAACAATCTCTTCGGGCTGGCATTTTCCCTCAATGGAGTGGAGCTGCTGCACTTGAACAACGTCAGCACTGGCTGCATCTTGCTTGGGGGCCTCTTCATCTACGACGTCTTCTGGGTAAACAGGAGCTTTTCCTGGGGCAGATGCGAGTTGCAGCCATTGGCAGAAGGCATGTGTGTGGCCTTGTGCCTCTTCAGAGGCAGCATGCTGGCTGGACGTGAACTTTTACTCAGGATTTCCATCTCCTCAGCCCAAAAGGGTGTGGTGGGGATGATGACAGAATCAAATGATGACAGAATGGGGATCACCAATTGTATCTTAAAAAATATTTGACTTGGAGATCCCAGCGTGGGCAGGGATCTCATCTGGGAGCCTGGCTGTTGTAGGCTGCCCATGTGTTCAGCACATCCCGTCCTGGTGATCTGCATTTATAACTGAGGGCTGCCCTGTGCCTGGCAGATGAGGCTGCTGTGGGATAACGCCGATCCTGCTTGTATTAGTTCTTCAGCTCTGTCATCTGGCAGCTTCCTTAGCATCCTTCTGTTCTCTTGCACAGAGAACTAAATACTGGAGTGCTTCCAGGCATTTTCCCTCAGCCAGTACAGCACTCCAATGTCTTTATTCTGAGGTTCTCCTTATCTTTCTGCAGGGATTCTGAATCCCTTTTCCATGAGTCCTGTGTAATGTCTGTGTTCCTCAGTTTTTCCTGTCTGCATCCACTTTCTGAATTACTCTGTTTCCAGAAGCCTTAAAACTTGCATACCTTGAGGTCTGTCCAGCAGTGCTACAGCTGCCTGAGTAATCCCTCACTGTTTAAGCCTGGCTACTGTGTCTTATTTTGTACTTGGCCAGTGCTGCCTCTGTCAGAGGTGTCAGCTGTGCAGCTTCTTGGTCTGCGTGCTGCTTCCTCCAGTGCAGTGGACTGGGAGCAGTTAGCCTTACCAGTGCCTTGTGCTCTGCTTGGGGTGTGAGCATCCTCAGGATGTTTTGGAAAACACCATGCTCCCTGTTCTTCGCTTCCTGCTGCTGCCCATAAAGGTTGGCATTCCTGATCAGTCTGATCAGTCTCTCTAAAGTGGAGAACCCTTTGCTGTGCCCTTCTGCAGGGATCACTTGGATCTTGGCACGGATTTAATTGCAGTGAGATCCAAGGAGGGTTTCAAGAAGGAAAAGGGATTGCTCAGTCAACCAACGATACGGTGTCCCTGCATAATCCTGAGGAGAACTTGCATATAGTGCTTTTTGCTGGTCTCAGTGTAGAGTCCTGTCAGTCACTTCCTGGCAAAGTGCAGAGCATACAGACCTTGGAGTGTTTGCTCTAGGACTTCTCATTAATCACTAGCTCTAGCATTAGCCAGCGTGTGCTTTATTTGCTTACTGCTGGTATAGCCAAGACTGGAGGCTGGGAGCTGGAAAGGAACAGAAATAAGGGTGGTTGACCTGTGTGCTTACAGTCCATTCTCCAAAAAATGCCAACGTTGAAAGCTGACAGTGCAATAGTGATGAATGACCTCAGGGCAAAATGTTGCTTGTCTAGAGAGTGCTCTGGTCCCTGTTGAAGCAGGCAGCCTGCTGGTGGTCGGGACCCTCAGCCAAGGGCTCCTACTCACAGTAACACCCTGCACCCTTTCACATGTTGTGTCACATTGGCTCAGTGGGGCTGAATGCAGCCTGGTTGGTGCTGCAGGCTCAATGGCTTCCCTCCGTGTGCCCTCTCCCCAGGAGCTGGGATAGCCTGTCTGTATCCTCTCGGTACTGCTGGTGGGGAAAGCTGCCTGTAGCTTCATGCCACTGATGGTATGCCTGTCCCCCATGCAGCCATGGTCACCCCAGACTCCTCTGCTTTCCCTTAGGTTTTCGGTACCAACGTGATGGTGACAGTTGCCAAATCATTTGAGGCCCCAATAAAACGTGAGTAGCTGTTCCCTGTGTGCAGGAGCAGCAGCTTCATGCTCTACCCATGGCTCTGCCCCAGCCACTGGGTTTGGAAGACAAGATGAAGGCAGGAAGGGGCTTCTAGAACCACTTGCATCAGCCAGGTGTTGGGGAGGGACTGCAAAGCCTTTAGCTGGCTGGATTCACCAGCACTGCCAGGGGTGGCAATTACCCCAAACCCAACAACAGCAATGCTGGAGGGGTGAATTGAGGGGTTGCAGGGTGGGCAGTGGCTTCGGTCCTGGGAGTTGTGGATGAAACCTGCAAGTGGGGCAGGTCCTGAATCCTTCAGTTTCCCATCCAGTGCCCAGGGTTGGAGCAGGAGGGGAGCCGCAGAGGCCTGGGGTAGGGCTGGAGGTCCTGCCTTTGTCCCTTTTTGCCAGGCTCAGCAGTGCTGAGTCTGCTCAGCCCATTCTCTCCTTCACTGCCTTTCTCTGCTCGTAGTGGTTTTCCCTCAGGACCTGCTGGAGAAGGGCCTGGAGGCTGACAACTTTGCCATGCTGGGGCTGGGAGACATTGTCATTCCAGGTAAGGACACGAGGGAGAACAGGGCCGGGATTGCCTCTGGACTGGCCGTGGGGAGCTGAGCAGGCGGCTTCCTCACCTCACCTTGCTTTGCCTTCTGTTCTGCCAGAGCCCCACAGCCTCCCACCTGGGCTGGGTGCTGCACGAGTGCCAGAGCCCCGTGGGTGTCCCACCACAGCCAGGCACTGTGCAGCCCTGTCCCCGTGCCGTCCCTGTGCCTCGTGCCACGAGAGGGCACTGTGAGCCCAGGGATGGCCGCACGGGGGCAGTGGGGTTGCTCAGCCTTTTGTCGGCCTCCATCCTCTCTCCTTCTCCCTGCAGGGATCTTCATCGCCTTGCTGCTGCGCTTTGACATCAGGTGAGTGGGTGGTCGGGAAGGGAGCTGACAGGTTGAATCTTGCAGTCTCGTGAGCTGTTTGTTGTAGAAGAAAAGGACGAGCTGGTAGCACAGTTATGCTCTCATCTGGGGCATGGGGTGGGGATGTGGAAGAGCAGCAGGGAAGAGCGAGGTGCAGGAGGAAGCTCTTGGAAATGCAGAGATGAGCAGGGCTGGGGTGTGGGTAAGTCCTGAATGCTGGGGTGAGCGTTGCTGTGCACAGGGCAGAAAGGCAAGCCTTGGGAGGGGGCCAGGCCAGCAGCATTGTTGGGCCTCACTGGCTTATGCACCAAAGTGCAGGAGCTGTGCAGGGGGGGGGGGGGGGGGGCAGAGACAGCGTGGGAAAGAGCTGAGATGCTGGCAGCTGGGATGTGCTGCTCACACGGGTGCCAGTCAAGGCCTGGCAGTGCTCACTGCCTCTGGGCAGATGCTGGGGAACGCAGCTCCTTCCTACGCAGGGAGCTGCACCTGCCACCAGGGTGTAGCTTTCAGCAGTTACCCCACACTGAATGTCTCCAGCTCAGGAGCAGCTGGGAACGGGCAGCTTCGTGCCACTGCCATGGTGTGGCCTCATTCCTGTTGTTGTTGCACAGACCCTCCCAGTCTGTGCCAGCCTTTCCAGGTGTTCCCACCCACATCCTGCTTGCACCTGCTGGGAATCCCAGCTCCTGCAGCCTGCCCATAATAAAACACCGTGTGCTGGAGTGGGCTGCCAGGGGAAAGCAGCTGTGGGACCTCTCCTGTGTCCCAGCCTTGACCCCTATGCTCTGCAGCTGTCCAGCAGCAGGGTTGTGCACCTCCTTCCCTTTCCCACCGCCGTGCATTGGTGTTAACCCATCCAGGCCTGCACTGCATTCATGGGACTGGGGGCTGTGCTGGTGGCAGTGCCTGTGGTGGCCTGTGAGCAGGGACAGAGCATGGCAGGAGATGCCCTGCATAGCTGAGCTGGCTCACTTTCAGCCACTGGCACCCCAGAGCCCCAGCCCAAGACAAGTTTTGCTCTGTTCCCTTCCCTACAGCTTAAAGAAGAACACGCACACGTATTTCTACACCAGCTTTGTGGCCTACATTTTTGGGCTGGGCCTGACCATATTCATCATGCACATCTTCAAGCATGCCCAGGTAAGCTCTGCTTTGCTGCTTCACACAGATGCATGCAGTCTGACACGCCAGCCTGGCCACAAGTGTCCCACAGCACGCCAGGGAAAAAGTAGATGCATTCCTTCTCTTGGCTTTGCTTTTCCTGTGCCTTTCCCCCTGCTCAGAGCCCTGGAACTGAGCCCTGCTGGAGCAGGCAGCGTCACTCATCTGGGTTAGTGCTCTGGGGGCTCTTTGCAGCTGAGCTGCCTTGAACTGCACAGCAAGGGAGGTTCTAGGAGCTGCATGCTGTGGGTGCTCTTGCCAGTCTGCGTGGAGGCCAAGTTAGAAGAAAAAATGAGCTGCTCTTGAAGCAGCTTTCTGGAGCTTTAACCAATCTGTGACAGATGCCACAGGTGCAGAGGGAGAAGGCCAGCATTCCCTGCCCTCCTACTGAGGATTGGGTTAATTTGTGGTTTGGTTTCACAATTGTTTTCCTTCCTGGCAGCCTGCTCTTCTGTACCTGGTCCCTGCGTGCATCGGATTCCCGCTTCTCGTGGCCTTGGCAAAAGGAGAAGTAACCGAAATGTTCAGGTGAGCCTCAGCTGGGGACAGAGCTGTTTTGCCTGTGGCGTTGGAGCGCGTGAAGCGTGCAGATGTTCCCAGGCCTGGGCACAGCTGGAGGGACGGGTTCATCTGGGCATGCTCTGCGTGTGTGTGTGAGTGCATGCATGTAGGCGGAGGGAGTGGGTCTGTGTTTCTACACGCTGGCCCTGGCTCCAGCCACCTCCTCGTAGCCGTGTGGGAGCCTTGGTGCCGTACCAACAGGCAGGCAGCATCTGGTGTTGCTTTACGCTCTGGTGACAAGCTCTTCCCATGCGCTGGCAGGCAGGGGAGGGTGGGACCGCACACCTGGTGCAGAGATACTTGGTCATTGTGTCCCAGGGCCTGTGGGTGGGGGAGAATGGAATTGGATCCAGCTGCGAGTGCAGCCAGGGCTGGTTCAAGCACATCCCAGCCTCTGTGCTTGGATAAAGGAGACGCTTTGCAACCCTGGGCCTGCAGAAATGGGGAAAGGGATCTAGAAAAAGGGGTCTTTGCTTTGCTGCACTCCTTCTCTTGAATGCTTTTATCCAGCCACTTCCCACTGACTGCAGACAGGTGGGCTTTGGTCTCCTGAATGCTGTCCCCTTGCTCCAGGCAGAGCAGATCCCCCTCCCCCTCAGGCTGCCAGAGAGCTGTTTATCCACTGTGCTGGCTGTTGTGTGCCTGAGGCTGTGGTGGCCCCGGCACAGCTGCTTGCCTGAAAACACCTGAAGCAAAGAAGGGAAGGGAGCATCCCACCAGGGCTGCTGGGGTTCCTGTGCTTGGGGGGGGGACCAGTACAAGCCCCCACCCTGCTCAGAGGCAAAACAGTGCCTGAGTGAGGCCTGGGCTGTAGCAGCTGCACAGTGGGGAACAGGGCTGCCCCCGGCCTCCTTCCCCTCCCCTGGGAGATGCAGGTATGCGTGTTCCCACCGGGCTGTCAGCTGGGCTGGCTCCACAGCCCTGCAGCACCTGCCCCTGCTTTGATGTTTACTTCTGACGCTGCTGCAGGCACTGAGTGTCCTGGGATCGTCCTTCCTGTGCACCTGGGATCCTGCAGCCGCTCTCCCTGTGTGTGGTGACTCAGCTGCTCGCAGCAGCACCTCCTCTCTGTGCCAGGAAACACATGGGAGAGACGAGCTGCAGGGCTGGCCCCTGGGTCAGCACGGTGCTCGGGGAGCCTGGCAGTTGCCTATGGAGGAATAAGGACACGTAGAGCACTAAGCATGGGCTGCATCAGCGGCAAAGCTGCCTGCTCCCCCCTGAAGTCACTCTATTTGCTGTCAGAGAAAGCAGGATGTGGCAAGGCTCCTAACCTGCAGGCCAGAGGCCCGTGCTGCAGGAATCCCCCCCCCACACCCAGGTGTGGCTCCCTTGCACCTTTGTGCTGCACCAGCTCCTCTGAGTCAATCCCTGGGGTCTCAGCCATGCGTGAAGTGCCTGGGAGAGGGCAGCCAGGCTCTGTGCAGGCTGTGCTGCAGGGTAGGCAGTGGTAGCTCTGTGCTGCAGCCCTGGGGAAGGGGTCCTCGTGGAGCAGAGCTGGCTCAGCCTTCTGAGCCTCCCACTCCCATCTGCTCTGCATCTTAAGATGTCAGGTGTGGGAAGACTTCTCTGTCCTCCAGCCCCATGCAAGGCACTGGGTCTGCTGCCCACACAGCCCCTGTGCTGCTCTCGTTGCCAGTACAGCATCCAGGCTCGTACCCCCACAGGTTCCAGCTGTCCGGTTTCATGCATGCCTTCAGGAGCTGCTTCTTCCCTGAGTCTCAGCCCTCACAGCATGGCCCTGGGCCAGCCTGGAGGTACCAGCAGACGGAGGGGATCCTGTTCTGCCTGCACAGGGTGCTAGGTTTGCAGCTATCTCACTCAGAAACTCTTCTGCTTTTTCTTTCTGTTTCTCCTCCCCTCCCCCCCCCCTCCTTTCTGTCCTGTCCTTCCCCCTTTCCCTTCCTGCTTCCTGTCTCCTGCAGCTATGAGTCCTCTGCTGAAATCTTGCCGCACACACCAAGACTTACCCACTTCCCCACCGTGTCCGGCTCGCCAGCCAGCCTTGCTGATTCCATGCAGCAGAAACAGCCCTGTCCCCGCCGACGCCGGCAGCAAAGCCCCAGTGCCATGTAGCAATTGCACGCGGTGCCCTTTCTTTGTCGCTCTGGCCAGGTAGGGGCTTGTTCCAGCTCTGCCCTTTCCCCATGCAGCAGCTGTCACCTTACTGCTGTGGGCTGGCTGCCCCTCCTCTGCGAGGCAGAAATCATGAAAAGGGAAAGAGGCTGAAATCTCTGCCCTGGTGTGCTCCCAGGTTTCCTCCATTAGGGCCCAGTTGTGGAGCTGGCCTGGCCCCTCTGTGCCCCCCCTTCTTTCCCCCCTATGGCTGAGGGTGGTTGCAGTGGGGCAGCGCTCATCTCCCTGTGGCCAGTGGCAGGAGCCCACCCCGACCTCAGTCACTGTACTGACTGTACAGACCCAAACACACAGTGCCAGGCTCCTGGATGCACCAGGCTCTGGGCTGGGTTCTGACACATGCCAATCCCCAGAGAAGGGCTGACCCTGATAACCGTTCTGCTCTCATTTCTCTGTCCCCAGCTACGAGGAGAGCTCTACCCCCAAGGAGGTGCTGAGGGCCTCCAAAGAGGAGACGATAGAAGGTGACAAGAAAGAGAAGTGACCTTGCCCATGGACCAACCCTGGCGCCGCTGGGCTGAGGCCCTTCCAGACCCTTCGCAAGTGACAGACGAAACAGTTGTGCCAGAGCATCGTGTTGTGTGTGTTGGAGCAGCCGCCCAGGTGGGGATTGATGTACACCACATATCCACCCCTCCTGCTGCCCCCCGGGGCCGTGCAGCCACACTCTCCTTTGCTTTGTCTCCTACGTGAGTGCAAAGCAGGCAGGGGACAAACCACAGGCCGGTTTTTAAATTTTGTATTGTGCATTTGCTTTCTCTCATATTAAACCATCTCAAAGGAAGGAGAGGTAATGGGGCCGTGATTTTTGGCTGCTGGAACCTGGTGCAGAAGCCATGGATGGGAGTCCTGACCCCTCCGGCAGCCTTTTTCTTCCTGTGGGGTTTGGACCCCTGGTCTGGTCTGACTGTTTCTAAGAGACCTTCCCCTCCTGCAGTGCTTTGCTCTTCCCTGGCCTCTTGCCACAGACCCAGGTTTAGGGCCGTAGCTGCTGTGCCCAGTAGGGAAGTTTGAGTCCCTGGGGTAGGAGGGGGCTGTGTGCAGCTCACAGCACGCAGTGTCATCCATGGCTGCCTCAGGGCCTGCGTGTGGAGGATCCTGCATCTCTCTAGCTGTCCCCTCTGCCAGAATAAATAGAAAGTGCTCACTGGCTTGGCAGCCCCTCCACAAAAGCCATATTGAGCTATTATTCCCCACGTCGGCTGTGAGCACTAAAAGTGGCGCCTTGCATTCTGCCATCTAATGACCCTTCGCAGCCTCCTACAGATGTTTTCTATGACTTACAGCTCCTTTTCCAACAGCCCTGTCCGCAAAAACAAGAGGGGCCACTTTAATTCCAATTAAATACCTCCAGCTAAGCAAACAGTGTGCAGCAGGGCCTGGGCACGGTGCGGCCGACAGGCCCGGCCCATGGAGTCGCTGAGTCTAGACTCCAGATGTGATTTCAGCAGCCTCCAGCGTCCCATGGAAAATGACACGGGCTGTGCCGTGGGGTGCTGCGCCCTGCCCGGGGCTGTGGGTCCAGCACCACAACCTATGGGGCTCTGCCTCCTCCCAGGCTTGAGCATCCTAGTGCCCCAATGCTTTTGCGCTCATCCCCGTGCAGCTTTTGGGGTTCTGAAGGATTCAGGACTGCGTTGGGGCCCACGCCGTACCCTAGGCTTCACCCTTGCATTGCCTGCTGCCTCCTCGCTCCCTCCTCCTGCCCACAGAGCTGAGGGCAGCGGGAGCACAGCGGGTTGCTGGGAGCTCTCCAAGAGCTCACGGCTGCGCCATGAGGAGCGGAAGGCACTGAGAGGGGAGAGCGGGGTCACCCCAGCCCTGCCTGGTCGATAAGCGGGGCAGGGCCCGGAGGGAAGGAAGCGTTCAGGCCCTGCAAGGAGCTGGGAGCAAAGCTGGCGCCTGGGCGGCCCCAGGCTCACCCGCCAGTGCTGCACCTGGGTCCTGCAGAGGCTGCACGGCTCCGCTCTGTCTGGGCCACCTTCCCCTCCCCGCAGGGTCCCTCTGGCTTAGGGGGAGGACACGGAAATGCAAACGCCCCGGCTCCGGTGTGAAACCTCAATGTGTGGAGCTGGGGGACAGGACAGAGCCAGCCTGCTGCAGCTGTGGAGCTTGGGGTTGGAAAGCTATGCAGATGCCCGTGGCCATGCGCCCCTTTTGCCAGGGGTTGCAGCTGAGCCCTGTGCCCCGGCGGGATGGGCTGTGGGTGCAAAGGGGATTCAGATGCCAAGCACGGAGTTAAGAAGTGTTGGTGCTTGGGGTTGCCGCTCACAACCATGTGTTTTACCCAGCAGGGATGTGGGGATGTGTGCTGGATGCAGCACCCCACTGCATCTGCTTTGTCCAAGCATCCCCCAGCCCAGCTGCAGCACCAGGGGACGGAGATGCCTAGTGCAGACTGTGGGGGTGCTGCTGATGAGAGCCGGGGTCCCACGGAGTGCTGGCGCCTGACCGTCGGCTGTGAGCTGGGAGAGGAAGCAGGAGAGAGCAGCCCCATCCCCGGCCTGCTGGCGAGGAGGGGCAGGAAGCTGGAATAAATCCCAGGAAGGGCCGCCTGGCTCCAGCTGGTCTGGGCTGCAGCGGATGGAGCCGGGAACGGGAAGGGAGAAGGTGGGAGGGGAACGCAGGGGGGCTTTTCTCAGGCCTCAGCCCTTCTCCAGCTGTGCCGGTGGCCACACGGCAAGGTTGGAGCTCCACAGTGCCCCGCTCTGCCAGGAGCCCTATTCAGGGTAGGGTGGGCTGCTGAGGAGCCATATGATAGGGGTGGCTAAGCTGGAGGCAATGCACAGCCCCAATCTGGGTTTTGGGGAGTGTATTCACAGCTGGGGGCCTCCATTCGCTTGGAGGACAGCCAGCCTGAATCCTGGTGTCTGCAGATCTGTGCATCCATGCAGGTCCGTGCTGCTCAGCCGTGTGTCTGCATCCCGATCTGTGCTACTGGGACACGTTGTCCTTCCTGAGTCTATCACGCTGCTGCTGCTGCTTGGGCTGCAAAATCCATCCTAAGCCCCAGCCCCCAAAATGCAGCCAAGCTGCGGAGCCCTGCACGAGGCTGGGTGCTGCCACGGGGCTGTGGCAGCGTCCCCATCATCTCCACAGCACAGGCGGTGCAGCTGTGCCCTGTGTGGTCCCTCCGGTGCCGCGGTGGGGGGAACGGCCGGAGGCTTTGATGTGCTCTGCTGCTGGGCAACCCCTGCTCGGCGCAAAGCAGCCACAATCCCGGCCAGGCTGCGCCCCGCCAGCGCCATATGGCCGAGGCCGCTGTTACCGAACCGTGTGCCCCTTTCCCAGAATTGAGATGGAAATGAAGCCATCCGTCTTGCCTGCAGACACCGGCGCACCCGCTCCCAACTGCGGCCGAGGCAGCGGTGCAGGGCTGGCATCCCCGGCACCCCAACGTGCCAAGGGGGGTCCCTCAGAGCCACCTAATGGAATGGGGCGACCACGGGACACCCATCGCTGTCCCCTCACCACCCGGGGTGGCCGATGCTCAGGGCTGGCTCATCCCAGCCGTGGCGTATTGTTGGCCGTGCAGCTGGCGGGCGCCCGGCTCTGCTGAAAGGCATTCCTGTGCACAATGTCCTCGGCCTCCCCGCCGCGGCCAGGCCAGCACCGCCAGATGGGGGCTAATTAGTGGCTTTGAGAGCCGTGGTGGGAACCGGGCAGCACCAGGCCCTCCGCGGGGCTCTGAATGGAGGGGGCGACCCCAGAGCTGTGCCCACCCTGGGAACCGCACTGGGACAGAGGGATGGTGACAGAGGGCTGGAGGTGCTCACAAAGGCAGCGGGGTGGGGGTGGAGGGGGCAGAGGGATGGAGGGACTGGGGGATGCGGCTCTCACAGCCAGGCTGGCAGGGCAGAGCCGAAGGTGATGGGGTTAAAGGCCCTCTGTGTGCAGAGCTCTCCAGGACTGCTCCCTGTTTGCAGAGGAGGAGGATGAGGGGAGGCCTTTAACTCACTGCGATCCAGGGAAGGCTGCTGCAGCTCTGCGCAGAGCCATGGGATGGACACAGGGGAGAGGGGGGGGGGTCTGACCTACAACAAACCCCTGCCACGAAGGCAGGACGGCGCGGCCCCTTGCAGCCACAGCAACGCCTGCGCACCGACCCCCCGCACAGCGTACCTGCTGTATGCACGTGCGTCTCCACGCGTGTTTCTGCATCCACGTACGTGCATGTGTGTGTGTGCATCTACGAGGTTTTGTGCGTGTGAACCTCTCGTGCATGTGTGCACACACCTACGTACCCACGTGTCCGCGCTGCCCGCACGGTGCCCGGAAGGCCCGCAGCTGTGCCGGGGGGGGGGTCCCCACGCAGCCGCCCCGCTCGGTGCTGCCCGGCCCCCGCAAAGCCGTGACCGCACCTCCCTGCAGGTGTGAGCTAAGGTAGCGATCATTAACGCTAATTAACGCTTAGATCGGAAGCCCTTTAGGGCAAGGACTGGGTTTCTGTTTCGTCTTCAGACCGCACGAAGGTTTCCACCGCCCAACCGGCCCCAGGTGCCGCTCACCGGCGCCCCGAGCTGGGTGTCACCGTGTCCCCATGGGGGTGGCCGTGTTCCCGCGTTCCCGTGTCTCCTTAGGGGTGGCCGTGTCCAGTTCCCGGGTTGGGCTGCAGGTGCCCCCCCCCCGCCCCACTCCGCCCCCGTCGCCATGGGCACCGCCCGCGCGGCGCCGCGCTGACAGCGCGCGGAGTTTTATGAATGGGTGACGTCACGGCCCTGGCGTCTAACGGTCTGGGGAGGCGGGAGGAGGGGGGGGGCTACACGGGGCCCTGGGGGCTGCAGTAAGCGCGTGGGGTCGGCGGGGCTGGGAGAGGGAGGAGAGGGAGAGAGGCTGCGGGAAGCGCGGGGCTGCGTGTCCTGGGGTGCAGAGGGTGCGCTGGGCTGAGTGGAACTGGGAATGCGAGGATCCCGGGAGGGTGCAGGGAGACACAGCGCCGGGAGCCCACGGAGTCACTGCCGATGGGACTACGGCGGGGTGGGGCGGGCGGTGCCTGCTTGTATCCCGCACCTTGAGAGGACCCGCACCTCCTAGAACCCCCTTCGCATTTCTGAGCACCCCCCCAACTCCATTCTCCAGGCTGTGGACCCTTTAAGGCGCTGCCCGTCGGGGCGCATGAATGGGGCTGGCGCGGCTGTCTCCGCCCCCTCTGCGCTGCTATTGGTCGTCGCTCGCCACGAGGCTCCGCCCCCCCGTCGACGGCGCTCTATAATTGGCGCTGCGCAGCGCAGAGCTCCCACGGCCGCCCGCAGGGTCCCATCGCCGCTACTCGACATGAAGGTCGCTGCTGCCGTTCCTTCGCCGCTGCCCGCCGGTCCCGGTGGGGCACTGAAAGCCATGCGGCCCGGGGAAGCCGCCCGCTGTGGGCCGGGCCCGGGAGCTGTAGCTGCTGAGCAGGCGGCCGCCGCGCTGCTGTATGACATGAAGGGCTGTTACTCGCGTCTTCGGGCGCTGGTGCCCACCTTGCCGCGGCACCGAAGGGTCTCTAAAGTGGAGCTCCTGCAGCATGTGATCGACTACATCTGGGACCTGCAGCTGGCGCTGCAGCCCGGCCCTCCTCGGCCCCCCGCTGCTGCTGAGCCTCCCGAGGTGAGTGCAGCCCTTCCGAATCCTTCCCGACCCCCGGGTCACGTTCCTATTCTCCGTGCGCTTCTCCCGGTCCTCCTCCGGTTGTGCCCCGTCCTGTTGTGCCAGCCCCGTTCACACTGACCGCCCGCTTCCCCTTCCGCAGGCTCCGTGCATGGCCGCTGCCGACCGCATACTGTGCCGCTGAGAGAGACCTCCACGGACCCGAACGGGGCCCCCCGCGCACGGACCGGACCGGCAACTGTGGGTTGTGCCGAAGTGCACGGAATGGCCGCCCCTACGGAGCCGATGGCCGCGGCTCGTAACCTTCTCAGATTGCTGAGAGCATTCCCTGTATTGTATATTACAATGATGCTGGAGAATATTGTTCTACAATAGCTGGAGTTTTGTTATTAAACAAGCCCTGATTACCAGGCAAGCTTCTTCCTCGTGGTCGCACTGCATGGGGCTGCTGAGTGGTGGTGGGAGGGGGGGGTTTGGGCACGGAGCATCAAACCCCTAGGAGCCATTCTGCACTGGTGCGGGCTGTTTGCACGCGGTGTGGCAGCACTGGGGCTGGGCTATGGTGGTGGTGCTGGGGCGTCCCAGGGTGGGCTGGGGAAGGGGAACCTTGGGATGGAGCAGGGAGCACCTGGATTCCCAGATCCTGAGCTGGCCGTGGGTTTTCCTGTGCACCCCGCGGTGCCGGAGGCTCTGGGCTGGCTCCTTGCTTCCCTCTGGGGCGGCCACAGCTTCCTGGTGGAGGGTTTGGGGTGCAGGCTGCTGGCTGGAGCTTTCTGCGATGCGCTGCTGGGACTGCAGATGTCACATCCCTGTCCCAGCACCGTGCTTGTGGAGCCGGTCGCTTTGCCCTGAGACCATCATGTCCTGCTGCTTAATCTGCCCTGGGTTCTGGTGTGGTTTGAGGCTAAGATTTGGGCTGGAGGGTAAGAGGCTCCCACTTCTGTTCCTGCCGTGGGAAACAGCAGCAAGGCCTGGAGCTGCCCCCTGCAGGTGGGTGCCGGGCTCAGGGCTCCGAGCCCACCTGGGTCCCACACCTCGGGGCAGGGCTGAGCTGCAGCTGGGCCATTGTCGGGCAACTCCTGGGCCTGCCCTCGCCCCGCTTCCCCACAGGGATGCCCGTGGTTCTCCCATGACTCACATGCTGTCACCTGTGAGTCATTACAGCAGCTGGGCAGGGGACACTGCGTGGGACAATTCCCCACGTGCTGCGGCAGCAGCTGTTGTGCCTGGGATGCTGTGGTGCTGCCCGTGCAGCTGCTGCTCATCCTGGGATCGTGGTCAGGGCATGAGCAACGTTCCTGGTGAAGGAAATTGCATTGGACACGGTTGTGCAACTACAGTGGCAGTGGAGAGGCTTGGGTGCTCACGCTGGGTGTGGTGTATCATGGAACAGCCTGCAGGGCTGGGGGACAACCCAGGCTCTGGGGGCTCCAGCTGCATCCCCCAGGCTGACTCCAAGTGTTCATACCCACGGTATGCTGATGTGCCCCTGATGAGGGGATGGCTGTATGTCCCACTCTGGTTGGGATGGGGTGGGAATAGTGGGAATATGGGACCCACATCGCTCCTGCAGTCCCATCCCTGTGTGTGGCCAGTAGTGCCGCTGCACAGTGCTGCCTTCACAGCTGCGTGTGCACTTTTCCAGCACAACCAGTCCCTCCCAGCAGAGCGAGGGATGCAGGGAACTGGGATGTGGCCCAAACGAGCCCACCTGATGCCAGCAGCAGAGCATGTGGGAAGCGGGTCCCTGGGATTGCACTCACCCGTTGTCCCGCCTCTCTCCCAGCACCTCCCCGATCCCTTTCCAGCACTCTGCTCCCGCAGCTCTGGTTCCCTCTCCCGGTGTCCGCTCGCACTGCACGGCTGAACCCGGGGGGCGGCTGCCCTGGGGGGGGATTCAGCACTGCCTGATGGGGGGTCTGGCCGTGGTCTCTACGTGTATCATCATGGGGAGCAGAGCTCTGCGTGTCGCCGCTCCTACTGTCCCAATCCTCTGCTCCCACCCTGCTCGGTGCCATCGCCACGTGGCATCCTCCTGGTTTGAGGCATAGGGACGTGTTGTGGCAGGGACACAGGGCGGGCACCGCTGAGAAGAGACAGAGGGCAGGGATGAGGCCAGCAGGGCTGGGCTGAGTGCTGCCACGTGCCGCTGTGCCGGATGCATCCACGCCGGCATCTGTGGGAAAGCCCCAGGGAGGGCCTGGCCCCTGCGGGCACCCAACAGGTCCTGGGTGCTGCGGTGGGTGCCTGACTCATCCCGGAAGGGATTAGGGACACGGGGACATGGGTGATGTTCCGGTCCAACCAGCCCGTCCACCCCGGGATGGACACTGGCGTCACAGGTCCCTGCTGCCCGCTGCCTCTCACAAGGAAAGTGGACCCACCATGGGACCCGCTGCCCCTGTTGGCCACGGTGAGGATGGGCATGGGGCACCTGGGGTTGGAGGGGCAGGATGGCACTGAGCCGGGGTGCTGGGATGGTGCTGCTGGCTGGGTTGGCCTAGGGGACACAGCTATGGGTGCCCAGAGGAAGAGGGCAAGAGTTTTTAAGGTGCGCTGTATGGGGCTGTGGTTTGCTCAGCAGTGGTTGGCCAAGGGTCTGTGTCCCATACAAGGCCAGGGTGGGACCCCAGACCCAAGAAGTGCGCACTGCAGCCAGGCTGTAGGTGTGTGTCCACGTTCCTGGCCACTCGTTGTCTCTGGGCCAGCAGCATTCCCCCCATGCAGCCCCCTGCCCCATCCCCGCAGGGGATTTCCTTGGATGGGAGTGGGCTGTTCCCTGCCTGCAGTGGGTTCAGAGCTCAGCTCCTCACTGCCCGCCGGGGCTTTCAGCAGGACCACAGAGTTCTGCTCTCGCTCTGACTGGCCCTGCCTTCCCGTCACCCTGCGCCTGGGGCTGTCAGCCGTGTCCTGGGGCTCCCTGACCCTGTATGACCCAGAACCCTCCTGAGGTGGGAACGGTTACACATAGGCTGAACCCATCCCCAGGCTCATGTTGTCCCATCTTCCTGTTCCTCAGTTGTCCTTAAGCAGGGCACGGAGGCCCTGCTGGGTCCCCACACAGCCCTATGTGCTGTTCCCTCTCTCTGGGACACGAGGGCAGGGCTGTGGTGGTGTCTCCATCCCCGTGCAGCCCACAGCCAGAAGTGACGGCACGTGGGACCCTCTCCTTCCTGCACTCCCAGGAGAGGCGCAAACGGGGAACAGCAGGGGAACTGGCTTCCCCTCTGACTCACTCGTTGGGCAAGGCCGGGCTTTTGGTGGCTGGAGCAGTGCGGTGGCCCCGATGTGCGCACGGGAGCTGATGTCAGTCGATGTGCCCCGATATAAGGCCTGAGCTGGTGAGGATGCTGGGGGCTCTGCGTCGGCTGGGTGCCCTCAGCCATGTGCTCTGCTCCAGCTCCAAGGCCCTGCAGATGTTCTGGTGCCAGTGGGAGTCTCCCAACCCGTGTCCACCTGCTGAGCGGTGCAACCCTGGGGATGTGGCTGTGCCTCCTGCTCCTGATGGCTGCCTGCGTGCCCACCTCCACCTCCAGCCCTGGTATCAAGGGCCGGGTGACCCGGAGTGCTCTGGAATATGGTAGGTGTCTGCACTTGCTTGGGCTGTGCTGGTGGTGGTGGGGCCTTTAGGAACCACACGCAGATGATGAGGATGGGTGTTGGAGGGACTCTGGGTGCCCCTGTGCCAGCCCTGAGCTTCCTGCTTTGCCCCAGGCCGGAGCTTTGGGCTGGATCTGCTCCGCTCGCTGCTGCAGAAGGAGCACAATGTGAACCTACAGGGCTCCTACCAGGCCCCATTCCTGAGGAGACTCAACTACACCGTGCCTCAGTAAGAGCTGCCCACATGTGCTCGTCTCATCCCCATCCCTGCCCGCATCTCCATCCCCATCTCCACATCCACCCCTGTCCCTTTTCCCCATCCCTGGGGCACTGCTTTGAGCCCCAGCCACCCCTTGTGTGCAGGATCCACATCCACGAGCTGCAGATGAACGACTCCACCGTGGACTTTGCTGAGGATGTGGGTGTGCAGCTGACAGTGCAGCGTGCCCGGATCCAGCTCAGTGCCACCTGGCGAGCACAGCTGGGTGCTTGGTGAGTCCTCGCTGGGTCGGGATGTGAGGACAGGGACAGGGCCACCTCTGTCCTCGTGCTCAGCTGTGCCATCCCCAGGCGGGACAGCGGCTCGCTGCGGCTGCGTATCAGGGACCTGGCGGTGGCTGTGCTGCTGGGGCTGGGTGCTGATGAGCAGGGCCAGCCCTCCATGTGGGCTGCAGGCTGTGACGCCCGCGGCACCGACCTGCGTCTGGAGTTCCACCAGGGACAGAGGTGACCGTCACTCCATTGCTCCTGCTGTGGCTCGGGGGTGGGTTGGGGAGGTGAGCTGAGCGCCTGCTCTGTGCCCCACAGCTGGCTGTACAACCTCCTGGTGCCGCTGCTCCAGAGAACCCTGAGGCAGCAGCTCAACAAGCAGGTGAGCTCGGCTGGTGACTCCAGTGCTGCCCCTGTGCCTTAGAGAGGAGCTCAGGGACCCCTACCCTGAGCCTCCCTGACGCTCTGCTCTGCTTCCAGCTCTGTGTCGAGATCCAGAAGGGCATTGGCAGGCTGCAGGACAGCCTGAAGAACGTGCAAGGTGGATGGGGAGAGGGGGCAGTGGGACTGGGGGCTGGTGGGACACGAGGGTCTGGCTCATTCCCTGTGTGTCCCCACCACCCTGCAGTGTCTGCTCAGCTCGACCCCTTTGCTGCCATTGACCTCTCGTTGCTGGGACAGCCAGCGATCACAAAGCAGCACGGGGACGTTGACCTCAAGGTAGAGCCATCACACAGGGAACTGGGCTGGGCCTCACATTCATCAATCCAAATATCATCCCTGGGTCTGTCCTCGCAGGGAGAGTTCTTTGGGGTACGCGGGCGGTGGCAGAGCCCTTTCTCAGCACAGCCTGTGGAGCTGCCTGAGCTGCAGGAGCCCATGCTGCTGGTGGCTGTCACCGAGTTTGTCGCCAACACTGCAGCCTTTGTGTATTTCACAGCCGGAGCTCTGCGCAGGAACATCACTGCTGAGATGGTATGGGTGAGGGCAGAGCTGCTGCCCCCTGGGGTCCTGGCTGTGGTGCCCCTGTGCCCCCACAGCACCCCAACCTCTGTTGCCTTTCAGCTCCCACGGCGCTTCCCCCTGAAGCTGAACACAGAGAGCATGGGGAGCTTCGCCCCGCAGGTGGGCGTGGGGTGGGGGCCATGAGGCCATGGGGAGGCATGTGGGAGGGATGGGACGTTTGGGATGGAGTGCAGGCAGGCTGAGGCATAGGGTGGGATGTGGGAGAGATGGGATTCAGGATGAGATGCAGCTGGGACAGGACACAGCTGTGTTGTGCTGCAGGAAGATGAGACATAGGATGGGATGCAGCTGGGATGTGGGCAGGATGGGGTGTGTTGTCACTCCCTGGCTGTGGTGCTGCTGGGTGCTGGCAGTGCCATGGCAGCTCGGTTCCAGCCCTGCCCTCGCTCTGCCAGCTGCAGCAGCACTTCCCCAGCCGCCCTGTGGAGCTGCACCTCTGGGCCCGCCGGCAGCCCCTGCTCTCCTGCCATCCCAACGCCCTGCATGGGGCTCTCTTCGGCTCTGCTGAGGCCTTCGTGGTGCTGCCCAATGCCACCCGAGTCCCTGCCTTTCTGCTGAACATTGTGAGTGCCAGGCTGCCACAGCACTGGGGCTGGGGGCTGTGTGTGCTGGGGCCGTGCTGGGTGACACAAGGTGATGCTGGGGCCATACGGGATCGATGCTGGCACTACTCCGGTCTCTCTGACCTCTCCTCTTGTTGCAGGATGTCAATGTGACAGGGAAGCCAACCATTGCTGGGAACAGGCTGGGGGGCACAGTGGGGCTGAAGAGGTGAGTCCCCAGGCCTGTGCTGTGTCCAGGCTCCTTGAGCTGTCCCCACGCTCCACCTCTGGCTATTCCTATCCCTGGGTCCGTGTCATCGGCTCCGACTCCATCCTGCTCCTGATTCTCACCTGTGCCCACTGCCCTGCTGCTCAAACTCTATCCCAGTCCTCAGCCCCTTCCTGCCCTATGGAGGGGACAGCCCTATCCCTGCGCTTGATGCTGACTTCTCTTTCTCCTCTCAGCCTCAGCGTGGTGCAGGTGATGTCGTATGTGGGCCCACTGCAGGTGAGTGGTGGTGATGGGGCCACAAGTGGATGAGGAGGGGGGAGGTGAGGACAACACCCTGCATGGGGTCAGGGGCTGAGGGAGATGTTCTGGCTGCGCTCATGGGTGTCCTACAGGTGGAGAAGCTGGAGAACATGCTGAAGTTTGGGCTGTGGCTGTTTGGGGTGCCCTGGGCCAACAGTAAGTGCTGTGTCCCCTTCCTCCTGAACCCCCAGTATCTCTGTGCCACTCCACTCACAGCTCTGCTATCCCTGCAGAGCGGCTCCGTCCCGGCATCCCGCTGCCCACCCCGCATGGCATCACCCTGCTGCACCCACGCCTGTCATTGCACAAGGTGGGTGCCACCCCTGTCCCCTCACCCCTGTCCCTGTGCCACCATGCCCTTCTCTTACCCGTCTCTCCACGCAGGGCTTCGTGCTCATCGCCACAGACCTGCACTACAAGCCTTGAGACCTGCATCTGTGTGGGAAGACGCAGGCACTGTACGCTGTATTGCATCCCCATCCCTGTCCCCATCCCACTGGCATCTCATGCCCTCACAGCCTCGGCTGAGCAGTGGGTCCTATGCCCCATCGGCTGGGATTAAAGCTGCCAGTGTGGCTCAGCCAGGCTGTGTGTGCCTCGTCCCGCTGCCAGCCCCGCACGGAGCCGTCACCACCGCATTACCGCGTGGTGCTCCGTGGGGACGGGGCGGCACCCGCTCGTGCGGATGGGCCTTCGTGCCTCCCGGTGCCTTCGGCGCCCCCCCGGTCCCACTGAGTTGGGGAGGTGCTCGGGGGGTCCCGCAGCCCTCTCGTTTCGCGATGCCGTCGAGCAGCTCCCGGTTCGCCCACGCGAGGGAGCCCGTGCCCGTGGCTCCGGGAGCAGGGAGCGCTCAGCCCCGGGCTTACAGCATCCATCCGCAGCGCCGCGCTCGGGGGCTCCGCAGAACCAAGGGAGGGGATAAAGGACGAGGTGGGGTCTCCGTGGCCGGGCCCCGCAGCAATCTGCCTCTCCGAGCCCTGCGTTCCCCTTCTTACGGCTTCAACAGCAACACCCAGCCCAGCAGGGGTTACCAGGATGCCTCCGGCTATGCTCCGTTGTCCTCGCATTGGGGGCACAGCACGAGGACGGACACAGGAGCCCGATCCCAGGGAGGAGAAGCAGAAGAGATGAGCATGGATTTGTGCCGGATGGGGAGCAGGCAGCACCGTGCCCCGGTTCTGTGTGTGCTCCAACCCTGCCCAGCACCCGCGGGCACAGCTGTAACCCCCACCCCAATGGGGACAGAACCCTCTGCCTCGGCTCCTGTTCTGCCCACCCTCCCTCCCCCTCCACAGGGCAGCCCTGCATGAAGCCCCACAGTGTGACACTCAAAAAACACAGCACCAGCTCCAATCACAGAGTTTATTTGTGGGCTCACCTCCACCTGCAAACTAAAGCATTCAGCGTTCGCCCCGCAGGGCTGGGGAGCGGGGCTAGGAGAACACCCCACTCACACCCCACTCTCTCGAGTGCTCCATCAGCAGCGGAGCCCGGCCCCAGCCCTCTGCAGAGCGTGGCACCACACATAAATACAGACGTACAGATAACAAAAATAGCATTAGAGTATTCACAAATGAATAAAAACTACTCGGATATGTACAGCAGAGCGCGGGCGCTATGTACACAGCCCAGCCCACCGGGACAGCCGGGGGGCCCTGGTGGTCTCCCAGGGATGAGGAGTTGCTCCTGAGGAAGCGGTGTGGTCACCTCTATCACTTCACACATCCGTCACAGCCACACCACGGGGCAGGGACCCCACTGCCTGCGCTTTGGGGACCAGCAGCAGCAGCTGGGAGAATGTGGCCACCAGCCCTCAGCTTCTGCCACCCGCTCAGCCCTGCTCCTACCCCTGGGGTTGGCTTCTACATTACATTGGTCCCATAGGCTCTCGCCTACCCCAGCCGTTCCCCTGCTGTGGTCCCGGGGATGTACAAGAACCTCATCCTGTGCTGTCTGCTGCCCGTGGGGTCCTGATCCCCTGGCTGTTTGACACCCATTCCGTGCTCCTGCGTTTGCTGGGATGCTGTGGTCCCACAGGTGGGCCCCTTGTGCCACCCCCCCCCCAACTCTGGCTGTGTGTCTGCAGGAAGGGGAAGTGCTCCTCAATTCCCCTGCCTCCATCCCGGCCCCAATGCAACAGCAAAGCGGGCTCCTGGCATGGGGTGCGTGGGGAGGGATGGACATGGGGCAGAGAGGAGGGCATGCAGTGCCACACAGCAACTCTGAGCAGAGGGAGGGGGATGAGGAAGAGGGGGTTAAGAGGAGGAGGTACAGCCCTGTGCCTGGTGTAGGTGCAGGGGACAGAGGCTCTGGGGCTGCCAGGCAAGTCTGGGGCTACTCACCATCAGCCTTCTCCCAGTGCCCTCTGCCTCACTGCAGTGCCAGGCGAGCAGGGGACAATCGAGAGATTTGACAGGGATGGCAAAGCTCAGCCCTGTCCCTGTGGTGGCCAGGCTGCTGCAGCAGGGCAGGGCTGGTAGCAGGAACCCTGCCGGAGGCTGGAGCCCAGATCCTTGCTCTGGCTGGGGAACTTTATATTAGTGACACATCTACACACACGCACGCACTCACACATGCAAAAATAAGTCTGTTTATTCTTTTCAAAGTGATCTAAAGGATCCTGCAGGGCTGGGACACCTTCTAGCCACTACTGGTGGGATCTGCCCAGCACTGGGAGCTGTTGGCTGAAGTGCTGCATCGCTCTCAGCGCCTTTAAAACACAACGGAACGGTAAATGAGAGGGGCTACAATAAAAGGAGCTGGAGGCGCAAGGGAAGGAGCTCCGTGGAGCGGGGTGAGGGCCCCGTGGTGGTGGTGGTGCTCGGGAGCTGGGTGGTGGATGTGGCGGTGAAGGCGCAGCCGTCCTGGTGCCAGGGGACACAACCACGGGGTCACTTGCGGCTCAGCAGGGATCCCAGCAGAAGCACTCCGGCCACGGTCGCCCCGGTCAGGAGCCATTTGTTGAAGGTCTCCTGGCCCTTCCTCAGCTCGGCAGCAGCGTTATTCCCATACAGGTCCACAAAGCGCTCCTGTGGGCAGAAGACAGCGGTGAGCAGGGAGAAGGAATGGGGCTGCAGTGCCAGCAGTGAGCAGCAGGGCGGTTGGGGCCCTGGAGAACAGCCTGCCCTCAATCCCAGAGCTCACAGGGCTCCCTCACCTCTGCTGCCCACTCCTCAACCACAGTGCAGGCTGTGATGATTTGGGGCTCTCCTACACAAAGCTGGAAAAGGCCGAGGCACCCCGGGAAACAGAGTCACAGAATGGTTGGTTGGAAGGAACCTTACAGCTCATCCAGTCCCCAACCCCTGCCACGGGTTGGTTGCCCCCCTCTACCCCCCAGCTCAGGCTGCCCAGGGCCCCATCCTCCAACGATGGGGCACCCACAGCTTTCTGGGCAACAGTGCCAGGGCCTCACTGCCCTACTGACAGAAAGGCTGCCAGGCTCCCACAGGCAGGAAAGCACTGGTGGTGACCGAGCGGATGACAGACGCCGTGTGCTTCCTTGCTCTGAATTATGCACACAGGACAGGGGGGGAAGCACAGGACTGGCCATGAGAGAAGTTGATGCCAGGAAAGATTTTCAAGGAGAATACCACAAGGCTCTAAAATTAGCATCAAAGCGTGATCGTTGCAGGAGACAAACGGAGCCAGTGTCAGGCTGCACTCTGCCACTGAAGTCTGAGAAGCAGCAGCATGGCCACAGCCCATGATCGCAATGCAAGCATCATTGTGTCCAGGGCCTCACGATCCCTCTGCTCCCCTGTCCTTTCTGGGTCACCTTGCAGCACTCTTTGCATTTTGCACTTGGGTTCTGCAAGTTGCTGCTGTAAAGCTGGACAAGAAGCCCTGCCTTCCCCCAGGCTGTGGGAGTGTGGCCAAGCACCAGCCCAGGAATGCAGCTGCTCCAGCCTGGCCCAGCCAAGCCGGCCTCTCCAGCCCTGCATCCCCAGCCACAGCCAGAACTGGGCAGATGTCACCGTGCAGCAAAGTGCTGCTGCCCTGCACCACTGACCCTGCAAAACCAAGAGGGAGCAGAATGCCAAGGACCTGGATATCACCCTGCAAGACCAAGGATAAGTGCAGGGCCCTGTGGTCAGCAGCAAGGCAGGCTGCAGGGAGCTTCACTGCACTGGTTTATCAGAGCTGAGCAGGAGCCCCAGGGCTACAGGCTGTGTACCTCTGGCCTTGGGACCTCCTGCAGCTCAGCCTCAGCCAGGGGCTGGCAGTGTTGTACCTTGAGCCATCTTCCCAGCGAGGCCTCTGCTCCCTGATAAGTGAATGCAGTTCCAGTAAGCAGCTGCTCTGGAAAAGCAGAGATAAGCCTGGCTGGCACTGTGCTGGTGTCACGCCTCGCCACAGTGTTCCAAGGCTGGGACAGCATTCCTGCCTGGTCTTTCACCTTGCCACACGTTTGCATTGCACAGCAAGCTGTTGCACATCAAGGTGCTGCACTACAATGCATGCAGCTTGTCTTGCTTCCCCTGTTTGGCCACACAGCCCTCCCACCCAGCAGCTGACAGCCACTGGTTCGTGTAGGTGCTGCCCAGAGCAGCTGCTCCCAGCTCTGCTCAGCAGTCTCAGTAGGAAGGCTGTGGAAACAGATAGAGATGGATGGGAGGAGAGCCTAAACCAACGGAGGGGATATTTTTAATTACAGCATAGGAAATCCTTCTGCTGATAGGTGGTGACAAGCAGAGGAGTGGTGACAGAATGTGGCAAGTAGAAGAACTGATGGGAACCAGTGGGCACAGGGAGCAGGACAGCAGACACAGCACTGACCAGAGCAGCCCCAATGCACCCCCGTGCTGTGGCCCCCAGCTCCATCCCCTGGGTCATGTCCCAGCTGCACACAAAGCACTCGATGCTGCAGCTGCACTCGGGTCAAAAGAAAGATGCTGTGCACATCAAGGTATCTTCTCTAGAAAAACAAGTCTCACTGCTCAGATATTCCTTAAGGCAGGTCCCACTGAGCCCAGTGCCAGGTGCTTCTGTCCCTGCTCCTCAGGGTCCTACTGGGGCATGGAAAGAGATGTCCCCAGTGTACCCAGTGAGGCCACAGAGGTGCCAGGGGCCACGCAGATGGTAGCACCTCTGAGCCACAGCCTCCCACAAGGGTGAGAAAAAAGAGTCACAGGGAGAAGGCCCCAGGGCAGAGGGGGGACAGGACAGCATCCCATCCCTTGAGGCTCCCTTTTCTTTGGTATGTACCTCGCAGCTTGGGGAAAGGCAATTCCAAGAAGCACAGGCTTTGGAGAGCCTGTTTCTAAGAAAAGGAAGTGTTTGCTGAAAAAGAGATAAATGCATATGGTGAACTATCGGGTGCTACAGGAGAAGAGCGGGATAGGAGCTGAGTGTGGTGGTGGGGGGAACGGGACAGGATCCCCTTCCTTCCCCTGGGGTCACTGCAGCATGGATAAGGGGCCTGGGGATCCGTCCTGCCACAGAGCACAGCTGTGATCCCAGATGTGTGCCCCAGGAACAGCAATCCTGGAGCAAGGGCAGTGGCAAAAACAGGCAGAAGCCTCATCTCTCCCAGCCTGGGGGGGTTGAAGGTTAGGGAAAAGCACCTTGCTGGGTTCCCACCCCCCCCACACACCTCCTCCTGAAGTCCAGCGCTCCGATGGAGCATCAATTCTGACCATTCTGGCCTCGTGTTTGGACTTTGAGGCTTGTCCAGACACGTCCAGATAATCCTGGCCTCCCCCAGTCACCTTTATCTGAGAGGAAATATTTGGAATTCCTGAGTTGCTCAGAAGGAGGACTATGGTAGCAACAGCACGTCGGTGTCACAATCTCCGGCCCCAGCACAGGCCGTTCCACTGCCCCAACCCCGTCACATCCCTGTGACACAGAGGGGATGCTCTGGCCCAGGCAGTGAGGAAACAGCAGAGGTTTTACCTCGCTGAGGCAATCCCCAGTTTTGAAGCTCTCAGGAAGGACAGCCCTTTTTCTTGCTGCAGCTTCCTGCTGCATGCACCCCGTGCCACCCCATGCAGAGCCTCTCCTGGGCCAGCAGCCAGAGGGCTCGGGACCTCATGAAGTGACTCAAACTGCCACCCACCCACCTCAAAATGCTGCCCCCAAGAAGGGTGCAGCAGCCCTTCAAACACAGACCAGCAGGCTGCAGCAAA